AAATAAATGCCAAAACTGAATTCACACAGATATAAGCAATGGAAAAGAAAACCATAGAGGGGGTTTAAGCAACACCACTTCGTTGGCTTGGTTTTGGGAACCTTTTTTGGAGTAGCAGGAGGAGGAGCCGCATCCGATGGAGGTTGATGATTCCATCTCCGACTGTGGTGACAAGATAGGACCGTCGTGTTCACCGTTGGATCCGAAAACGTCGTCATCGTTCAAATAAGTCAGAAGCAAAACACCGTCCACAGTCATGGACTGAGCGCCATCGTAGGCTCAGGCTGAGAATAATAGAAATGAGAATAGTAGAAAGTGCATGAGTTAACATACTCAATGAATATAACGAAAGGTTGTAGTTTATTTTATATTTTACTTAACTTCAAAAATAATAATATTTCACTAGTAATGTCTTTCAAATCTCTAATAATGCCTTTCAAATCCACTGATAATGACATCCTAATCCACGTTAGATGAATTACAAAACCATTGGATTTTAAAATCCATCAATAATTCAAATCCATTAAAAACACATATCCAATAACACCCCCTTAGAGACAAATACAAATAATTAGAGGTGAATATTGTAGTTCATGTGTTTCTCTGTCATGTCCTATTTTGTCTTAAACATATTCCCAAATACTCTGTCACATAAGGGAATGCATTCACAATATGGTACATTTCCGATATGGAGAAAATTTTGTATTTTCGATTAGAAATGAAACGCGATGTAAAACTTTAAAACTCCTTCAATCCCGGTTTTGTTTACAAGAATATTGATACAAAAAAAATGGTTGGGTAGGGAGTTGAAACGTTTGCTTACAAGTTTAGATAGCTTCTATGGATCACCAAGCTTTTATGATGGAAGAGTAACTCTAAAGGTTTGACAACTATTTCAATATTTTCTATTATTTTATTTTTACCAAAAAAAAAACTAATTGTATAATTACAAAACAAAAATTTGTAAGTATGATTTAAATTTAAAAAGAAAAAAATGAATTAGCATATATTTTTGTTATAAATCGGACAATATTTTCAAAGCTGTAATTGGAGAGATTATTGAAAATAAAATAAAATTGTTTTTAAGTATAAATACGATTCTTAAGCAAAAAAAAAAAGAGGTATCGATTTTGTTGGCTAACTACCGAAGCTTGTAGCTTAGCTCCTCTCCCTTCTTCCTCTCTCAACGGTAAGTAAGATCTGATCCGTCTTCTTCCTCCTCCTCCTCTGATCCGTCTCCATAGGTCTCTTTCATCTCGAATCGTAGACTACATTCGTCTATGTCTCTGTCTCGGGTGCCATTGTTACCTTTTAAGTTTTAAATTCGTTTGATCTATTCGAATTCTTTAGTGTTTCGATTCGTCATTAGACTCTAATTGAATAGTTATCGAACGATCTGATTCCGATTTGGTGTGTTTGTTCACTAGACTGGATCTGTGAAGTATGGCTCGCAAGAAGATCAGAGAGTACGACTCAAAGAGACTGGTGAAAGAACACTTCAAAAGGCTTTCTGGTCAAGATTTGCCTATCAGATCCGTTCAGGTTAGATCCATCCAACTTTGTGTTTTAGTTAGTGCAGTGCATTGGTTTCTCCGTCATGACTCAGGTTTTTTGTTTTACCTGTTCTGTTGTGTTAATCGCTTGTGATGTTTTAGATTAACCAAGAGACTGATCTGAATGAGCTGGTTGAGAGGGAGCCTTGGCTCTCATCTGAGAAGCTTGTGGTGAAACCTGATATGTTGTTTGGGAAGCGTGGCAAAAGTGGTTTGGTTGCTTTGAAATTAGATTTCGCTGATGTTGCAACTTTTGTGAAAGAACGTTTGGGCAAAGAGGTAACTTTTTTTTTTTGCTGAAATGATCTGAAGACCATCTTTTTCTTTTGCTTAGCTTTGTTTTTTGCTGTTTCCTTCCCTCTATTATCTCTACAGGTAGAGATGAGTGGATGTAAAGGACCCATTACAACATTCATTGTTGAACCATTTGTCCCACACGATGAAGAGTTCTATCTTAATATTGTCTCTGATAGACTTGGCTGCAGCATAAGCTTTTCTGAGTGCGGAGGAATTGACATTGAGGAGAACTGGGACAAGGTAGTTTTGTTACCTTTTCGTTGATATCCTCTTAGTGTCAGTTTCTCACTGTAAAGCTGAAAATTGAGTTCACTTTCAATAGGTCAAGACCATATCTATACCGACGGGTGCTTCCCTGACATCTGACATAATTGCACCTCTTGTTGCAACTCTTCCTCTAGAGGTACTTAAGCTGAACATCAATGAGAACTGATATTTTGTATTGAACAAACTACTTGCAATTTGGAATAACTAATTTTACACATACAGATCAAAGGGGAACTTGAAGATTTTATTCAAGTTATTTTTACCCTATTTGAAGGTATGCCAATTCTGACCGATTCTACACACAAGTCATAGCTGATTCACAGTGACGAAATCTGAACCAAAAACTGAAGCTTATTTACTCTCTTCTTTTTTTCTTGGGGTCTAGATCTTGATTTCACTTTCTTGGAGATGAATCCTTTCACATTGGTTGAGGGAAAGCCTTATCCTTTGGATATGAGGGGTGAGCTTGATGACACCGCTGCTTTCAAAAACTTTAAGAAGTAAGTTTGTGTCTTCCAATTTTTTCAACATTTCTAAGTCAAGAGCTTCAAGAAGGCATGATAAGCCTTCCTGCTGCTGTATTCAGGGTTATGATCAACCTCTTACATTTTGCAGGTGGGGCGACATTGAATTCCCTATGCCATTTGGAAGAGTGATGAGTTCAACAGAGAGCTTCATCCACGGTCTAGATGAGAAGGTTTCATTACCTATCTGTGTAGAACTCGACCCTTTGGGAAACACCAGTTTCTCTATGACTTATGACCCTTTTTTATATGCAGACAAGTGCATCTTTGAAGTTCACTGTTCTGAATCCCAAGGGAAGGATTTGGACTATGGTAGCTGGAGGAGGTGCAAGTGTCATCTATGCTGATACCGTATGTTTTAATATGAAAATATGTATATGCGTAATCAACACTGAGAATCTCCTGCATTTGTTTCTCCCTGCAAGCCTTAGCCTCTAAACTGTCTGCGAAAATCTTATATCCAGGTTGGAGATCTCGGGTATGCATCTGAGCTTGGAAATTATGCTGAGTACAGTGGAGCACCAAAAGAAGACGAGGTTTTGCAGTATGCTAGAGTCGTCATCGATGTAAGATGCTTTTTTGTTGTCTCCTTCCACATTATAACATATGAAACCAACCCAAAATAATGGCACTTCTGACTATAAAATACTGCGATTTTTCTCAATTCTTCAGTGTGCTACAGCTAATCCCGATGGACAAAGCAGAGCTCTGGTAATCGGAGGGGGAATTGCTAACTTCACTGATGTTGCTGCTACCTTCAATGGCATTATCCGAGCTCTCAAGGAAAAGGTAAGAAAGAAGAGATTAGAATCGTCCAAAAGCCTATTATTACCCTCAAAAATAAGTATAAAAGAGCTTTCCTTTAATATTTTACAGGAAGCAAAGCTGAAAGCAGCAAGGATGCATATATTTGTGAGGAGAGGAGGACCAAACTACCAAAAGGGACTTGCTAAAATGAGATCACTTGGAGATGAAATAGGTGTCCCCATCGAGGTATATACAGAACAAAGAAATAAACCTCAACACATTCCCGCTAAACCCGTTTTCTAACTGTTTCTACATGTCTGTTTGATTTCAAGGTGTATGGTCCTGAAGCAACAATGACAGGTATCTGCAAGGAGGCAATCCAGTACATCACCGCGGCTGCATAAGCCTTTTCACTCTTATTCAGTTACTTCTAAAATACTCTTATTAGCTTATATTGAGTTTGAGACATGCGTTTGGATTGTATTTCACCTCTAATCAATATTTCTTACTATTCATAAATAATAAACAAGCTTCTTCTTTTTGACTTTAGTGTATCATCTTCTTGACTTAGAAAAAGAACAAGAACAAGAACCCTATTTCACTTTGATAGGACTTGGGAGTTGGTCGATTAGGTGTGACTAGTGAGTGTAAAGGTCTACAACAAGTGACAAATCATACAGTATTTTAATCACTATATAATATAACAACGTAAACGCAAGAGTCTCTAAAGACCCATGCACACAAGCCAATCATATACAATCTATAGCCCACTTCAGACACTTCCATCGAGTTTCTTCTTCTACATAGGAGGACCACTCACACCCACCTGCTCCCATTGAGTCTCCAGAGATCTACGTTATGTTATTTTGCTAAATTTTGTTTTTCTTAGTCTTGTGCAAATTCTACAAATTGAAAAAAAGAGAATGCTACAGTAACTCAAAATCATTTAGTTAATCATTTTCAAATCTATAGTCATTTTGTGTGTATATAATTAAACTCTAAATAATTTTAGATGATACGTATTAGAGAATACAATTTTGCTCGGTGCTACTGACTTTGTAGAAATAATAATGATAATACTCCAATTTATTATGTCTTATAATGATAATTAATATTCCACTTTACTATTTTTTTAAATGATCATTTTAATATTTAACCAAAACTACAACAACAAAGATCTCCAGTACCAAGAGGATTGTCCATGCACGTCCATGTAGTATCATCTGGGAACTTTGGCGGTCCACATCGGTCACTACAATCCATATCATCCTTGCACGAACCTCTAGAATTACATACTCCAGGCCTAATATCGTCTGCCTTCAATAATATATGTCAAATTTCACCAAAAACCAAAAATGTTAACATTAGTAGTGTGTGTCAAAAAAAAACATTAGTAGTGTATACTATGATTTTTCCAATACGAAATTATGTATTGTTTTATTTAGATATATGCACAACAAAACTTTCAAGTGAAAATGAGATTTATGAAAAGAACAAAGTCAGATAAGATGTTTACCCTGAGAAGTGAATAAGAGAGAATATGTGATGAGAAGAAGGGCTGCAAGTTGAAACTTTGACAAAGCCATTTTGTTTGAATGATTTTTAGTTTTTTGGAACATGTCTACGCATATATACACAAAAGTGTCAAAACTTATATACCTTGAATGGTACTAAATTTCATGTATTTAAAAATAAAATAAAAGGGTAGTAATCTTTAAAATGGATTTTGGAATATGTTTTTCTAAGTTTAAGGAAAAATTTGGTATCCATTCAAGTATATGAATCCAGTTTTGGTGTTATGTTTGCATTTTAATAAAGAATCCCAAAACTATATTAAGGATGATCTTATGAAGAAAAAAAAAGGAACAAAATCCAGCCCAAAATTAAAATAAAATCTCTAGAAAAAACATTCCCCATCCTTGGCCCTAGTATCAAAATGACTACGTGTGGTTGTTAATTGTCTTTTAAAAAAGAATCCATGAATAAAGATATGGTCAAATTCTTCATAGTTTGTTTGTCAAGGCTTGAATTTGATTAGTGTTTTTTTTTTTTGGTAAATGAATTTGATTAGTGTTAAGCATTCTGAAATCATATTTAAATCTTGATATTTATTAAAAGGCAAATCTATCACTTACAATATATGCTTCAACCTATTGAAATTATGTATAGACAATGTTTAACTAAAATTAGAAAGAGTGATTTTGGAATTAAAATGATCGACATCAAATTATTTGGCTAATAAAAAAAAAATTCCAACCTCTCTTCTCTGATTTTTTTCAACAAAATTGTTTCATTTAATAAGTTAAGAGTGTCGAAATTTATCATCTCATCTTTATTTGATCATATTTTGAAAACATGCGAATCAATACATAGTTCATATAATAAATTAATAAATGTTTTTTATATGTTGTAATTTGAATATTAAATAAAAAAAAAACATAATTTACTCAATTAGTGAAAAAGTAGTGTATGAAACAAACATCCAATATGGGCAAAACATTTTGGGTGGTGTTTCAAATTGCGGTTAATGAGCATAATCAAATGATTGAGAACATTAATAAATGCCCATAAGACAAACAAACAAATGTAATGCAATGTGTAGAAACCATCATATGAAAGAATTGTCAAAACTCAAAAGTAACTAAGATAAGAGTTACTGAAGAAGTAGATATACACCAAGATATTGGATCCTGATAAATTGTAAGAACATGAACTTATCTTTCATCATCATTGATCAAATATGAAATCAGATGCATTAAGCCTTTTTACACCGATCATAGTCATACACATATCCGGTTTTAGAAGTGGCTCATCAAATTTTGGACCTTAGCCCATTTATCTATTAACTATGATCCATTTTTTACTGAGTGGATAGCTCTGGGACATTCTAATGTGTCAAAAACCAGAAAAACTTGGTGAAGTAAATTTTGTAAAAGTTCTAGTTCTACTGCTAATATTTGATTCGTGTAGTTAGTAGTAAAAGGGAAAGGAAGTGTTATCTTTTAAAAAGTGTTTACTTACTTAAAATGATAACTCTTTTTTGTAACAAAAACTCAAAAAGGGATGAAAGAATAAAATAATTAAAGCCCGAGAAAGCCAACAAGATAAGGGAGGAGACAGAGGCCATGAACGAACGTGATCTGCCCAACAAAAAGGACCTCTCTTTTTTTTCTTTTTTTTGCTCTGGAGAGAGAGAGAGAGAGAGAGAGAGAGAGAGAGAGAGAGAGAGGTCCTTTGTTCTTTCATATGTTTTTTCTTTTATCTTTTCTCTCTGACCCATCTCTTCAATCTAATCACCATTTTTTTTGTATATTTTAAAAGTGCATTTCTTGAAATACCTGCCCGAAAGCAAGAAAAAAAGAATTCAAACTGAAATCATGAAAACATATTGAAAATTGTACTATTTTTTTCTTCCCTCTCACAGTAATATAAATAATTTTTCTGATTGATAAGAAATTAGTATAATAGAAAAAGGGAGAAAAACAGAGAGTCTCTTCTTTTCTTGTTATTCTGTCAGTATCTTTCTGTGTGTGTTTGTGGATTTTTTGGCATTTTCGTTTTGGATTTTGCTTGTTTGGTCCCTTTCTTTTGCTTACTTTTTTCTTTTATTTTCTTTTTTCTTCTAGTGGTGTGTGTGAATAATGTGGGAGTAGGCAGATGGAGGAGATTAGATGATTTGGTAAAAGTGGTGTGAAAATTTAGAAACCAAACCAAACCCATTTGAAAAAAACAAATCTTTTTAAGAATGTTTATAGAGAAAGAGATTAGTTTATTCAATAAATTACTAAAGTAACCTAAAGTAATAATACCAAGAGGCATTAGTATCATCATCACTCATTTCTCAGATCTCTAGGAAAAAAATTCTCAGACTTTCAGAGCATTTTGGTGGTTTTGTTTGCTTGGTTTCTCGGGAAAATTCTCTTCTTACTTTATTACTATTCTCCTCTCTCTCTCTCTCTTGTCACACTGCTTGTTTAGCACTCATTCTCTTAATGCTTCTTTCAAAACTTCTCTCTTTCCTAAGCTGAGAGTGTTCTTTTTTTTTTGCAAAGCGTCAGTTTTTATTTTTCAATTTGGGTTTACCTCATTTGATTTTGGAGACCAGAAAAGAGAGGTTCCTAAAAAAAAGAGTGAGATTGGTCTCAAAGTAGTTTTCTGTGTCTGAAAATAGACAAAAAGGCTAAGGCTTTTATAGATATGGGAGAGAGAGAAATGAGTTGTTGTTGGTGGGTTTACTGAAGCATTTGTGGTTTTTCTCCTCGAACTACCAAAGTTGGTTGCTTCAAGAAAGGGATATGGCCATGGAAGGTGTAGGATTTGTGGTTTGCAGATTAGGGTTTCTGGTTTTGGTCTGGTTCCTTGATGTCTCTTCTGCTACACTTTCCCCTACTGGTGTTAACTATGAAGGTTAGTCTTCTTCTTCTTGAGAAATCTCAATTTTTGAATAGAAAAATGTGTTTTTTTTTTTCTTTTGCTCAAACACAGGATTGCAGATTTGAATTCCTCTGTGAATTTATCATCTTTGTTTGACTATTTTTTTCTTGCTTGTTCCGCAAATTCTGGTGAATGTTTGTGTGGATTGGGTTCTTTTCTGCATTTTTATTGGATAATAAATATCAGAGCTTTAAATGCTCACCAGACTCATATCTCTCTAACTTAGCCAATACCAAACTCAAGTTTTACTTCATTCTCTGTGGAACTATCTCAGTATCCCTGGTGGGTTTACTGATTAGTGGGTTTTTTTTTTGTTTGGATAAGATTTCAGTTTCGAAAAAAATGCAGCTTTTGGGATAAGAGAATTGATATGAAGTTAGATTTGGTCTATCAGTCTAAAGTTTCTTTCTTTTTGTTTGTCTGAAATGAGCAGTGACGGCTTTGGTGGCTGTGAAGAATGAATTGAATGATCCGGACAATGTTCTTGCTAATTGGGATGTGAATTCAGTTGATCCTTGTAGCTGGAGAATGGTTACTTGCACTGATGGCTATGTCTCTGCATTGTGAGTCTTCTCATCTCTTCTCTTCTCGTATATTTAAGACAAAAAGATCAAATTAGATCTCTGATACTTGTTTTGTTTTTTCTTAATTAAACAGGGGACTTCCTAGCCAAAGCCTGTCTGGTAAATTGTCTCCTAGAATTGGAAACCTCACCTATCTACAGTCTGTGTAAGTTATATATAATCTTTGCTATGTTTGATTCTTGCTCTATAGTTTTTCTTCTTGTTGAGGTCAAGGTTTTGTGGTTTTAGGTGGTTACAAAACAATGCAATCACTGGTCCGATTCCCGAAACAATTGGAAGGTTGGAGAAGCTTCAGACACTTGATCTTTCGAACAATTTATTCACCGGGGAGATACCGGCCTCACTTGGAGAACTCAAGAACTTGAATTACCTGTGAGTGCTCCTTTAGGTTTCACAATGATTCTTTTGTTGCATGTTTATAAAATTCCAGTTCAAGTCTCAATGTTTTCCTGTTGCGTTCTTGTTCACTTCCATTTTCAGGCGGTTAAACAATAACAGTCTTAGAGGAACTTGCCCTGAGTCTTTATCCAAGATTGAGGGACTCACTCTAGTGTATGTCTCTAAACTCTCTTTTTCTATTGTTCACAGTCGAAAAAATATGTTGGGAGCATATTTACGAACTTCTTTGTTATTGATTCTTAATGTGCAGAGACATTTCGTATAACAATCTTAGCGGTTCTCTACCAAAAGTTTCTGCCAGAACTTTCAAGTAAGTTATACTAGAATCATCTCAGAACTTTCTATCCTTTAAACTAAAACTAAGATTCACCATCGTATTTGATTTGTATCTTGGACTCTAGGGTAATTGGAAATGCGTTAATCTGTGGCCCAAAAGCTGTTTCAAATTGTTCTGCTGTCTTACCCGAGCCTCTCACACTTCCACAAGATGGTCCGCCAGGTATTAGCCGTCTGCTTCTCATGGATCACTTTTCTTCTTCTGCGGCATTGGACCTTTTTCACTTACTTCTTTGGTTGTTTTAGATGATTCAGGAACTCATACCAATAGCCATCACGTTGCTCTTGCATTTGCCGCAAGCTTCAGTGCAGCATTTTTTGTTTTCTTTACAAGTGGAATGTTTCTATGGTGGAGATATCGGCGTAACAAGCAAATATTTTTTGACGTCAATGGTTGGTATCTTGAAAATTTCTCAGCTTTGCATCTTATTGTGCCGGGAAAAAACTAACAGTTTCTTCTTGATGATGGATATTTTGCAGAACAATATGATCCAGAGGTGAGTTTAGGACACTTGAAAAGGTATACATTCAAAGAGCTTAGGTCCGCGACCAATCATTTCAACTCGAAGAACATTCTTGGAAGAGGCGGATACGGGATTGTGTACAAAGGCCATTTAAGCGATGGGTCTTTGGTAGCTGTCAAACGTCTCAAAGACTGTAACATTGCGGGTGGAGAAGTCCAGTTTCAGACAGAAGTAGAGACAATAAGCTTGGCTCTTCATCGAAATCTTCTCAGGCTCCGCGGTTTCTGTAGTAGCAACCAGGAGAGAATATTAGTCTACCCTTACATGCCAAATGGGAGCGTCGCATCACGCTTAAAAGGTAATGCGTTTTCCAAAACCAAAATTTGTTAATGTTCTCGCGCTCTTTTGCAAGTTTTTAATATCTTGCTGCAATTTTTCTTTAGATAATATCCGGGGAGAGCCAGCATTAGACTGGTCAAAAAGGAAGAAGATAGCAGTCGGGACAGCTAGAGGACTAGTGTACCTACACGAGCAGTGTGACCCAAAGATTATACACCGAGATGTGAAAGCGGCTAACATTCTGTTGGATGAGGATTTTGAAGCAGTTGTTGGTGATTTCGGGTTAGCTAAGCTTCTAGACCATAGGGACTCACATGTCACGACTGCAGTTCGTGGAACCGTAGGCCACATTGCACCGGAGTACTTATCTACGGGTCAGTCCTCAGAGAAGACCGATGTTTTTGGCTTTGGTATACTTCTCCTTGAGCTCATTACTGGTCAAAAAGCTCTTGACTTTGGCCGATCCTCACACCAGAAAGGTGTAATGCTTGACTGGGTAAGTCCTTTTTCTCTGCTTCTTGCTTCATTTCCTAGAATCATTGAGGGTATTGGTCAATTCTGGTATGGTTCAGTTCAGTCTTGTTTGATAGAAAACTTAAAATTGAATACAAGTCATTTTCAAAGAAAGACTAGATTTTTATTTCGCTTCAGTTTGGTTCTGTTTATGTGGCTGAAGAAATGAGATTGTTAAAAACGGCAGGTGAAGAAGTTGCATCAAGAAGGGAAACTAAAGCAACTAATAGACAAAGATCTAAGTGACAAGTTCGATAGAGTAGAGCTCGAAGAAATCGTTCAAGTGGCGCTTCTATGCACTCAGTTCAATCCATCTCATAGACCAAAAATGTCAGAAGTGATGAAGATGCTTGAAGGCGACGGCTTGGCTGAGAGATGGGAAGCGTCACAGACCGGTAACGGGGATTCGCAACCACCTCCGTTGCCTCCAGGGATGGTGAGTTCATCGCCGCGTGTAAGGTATTACTCAGATTATATCCAGGAATCATCTCTTGTAGTAGAAGCCATTGAGCTCTCAGGTCCTCGATGATTAATGTAACTCACTTTTTTCTTGTTTTCATTCTCTTTTCTTGTTTTTTGTATTTTGTTCTTTTTGTAATGTTTGTTGATATGTGTAATTTTTATGTAAAAAAATATTAAATGCAATAGAAAATGTTCATTAGCATGACAAATTACTCAACATTTGAATTTTGAAGTAAAGGTTCTCATGTGAAATTTTGGACATTGTAAATTACTAATGCCGTGATAATTAAACAAAACTAAATAATTTGGTAAATCAAAATAGAACTGAACTGAATTTGGTAATTACATTCATCCCTAACCAAACACGAAATATTCCCAAATCGAATCATATCGGTTTAAACGGGACCTGGTCCAAGCCGAATCGAATTTTCTAAATCCGGTCAAAGTGTTAAACCAATAATTACATACGCAACTTTGCCTCACACTGTCACACACACTTATTTGTACTCTCCACTGCATGAACTGAACAAATATAGACCAAGTAGAGTCGTAAACGTGGAGGCTATTCCAACTGTGACGACAGAAGCGTGCACTTGCACCTTCAGACCACACACACACATGAGAGACCGTTAGTTAAGATCACGCGGCTACAAGCTATCGTAGTTAACGAGAAAGAGAATGATGTCGGTCCAACGTCTCGTGAGTCCTTCTTATGACACGTGTGCTCAGATACAGTCGGTGCCACTCTGCCTTAACATTACCACCACGATCCACATTAACTTTCTAATTACACTTAAAATAAAATTATTAACGGGACTAATAATTAAAATTATGTAAGTTAACATCTCCATAATTGTTAGCTTCATAGGTGACTTTTTTTTATTTCATGTGTTTTATTGTTTGACTAATAATTTCATTTGAACTTTTTGTATCCACATTAATTATTTCCTAATTATTGATATTTTTTTAAAAGTTAAGCATTCATTAATAACTTCATTAAATGGAGTAAGTAAGAAGTAGCCTGAATTAAACTTTTTGAGAAACATGTCAATGGTGGTTTACTGGTTTTAAACTGAAATCGTTATCTTCGAGAGTAAAACCGTTTTTTTTTTCTTTCTTTGTTTGCAGTTTCTTCTCCATGTTCTATCTCTCTACTTCTAATTTGCATTTGAACACTACTCAAGTAGATGGATCCGTCTAAGAAACTTTTGTTTCCGGACCAGATTCTATCTTCTAGAAGAAACATCTTGACTAGATTCGGTTTAGGAGTCGCTGCTTCTCTCCTTCTCCTTACTCTTCTCTCCCTTACTAGTTCTTCCTTCAATGTCCCTTTCGTCTCTCCTCTGCTTCAAGGTCTCAAAAGCTCTAATCTTAACACTTCTTCTTCTGTGAAGCAAGTTGAGGAGAAGCCTCATGTAGTAAATCTCACCGTCCCAGATGCCAAAGTTCCAAGCTTTGTTCCGGAACAAAGATCTGGAGAAACTGGAGATACTGCTTCTTTGAAGAACACAACTTTGTCTGGAGAAGGTAAAGTTCCAAGCTTTGATTCCGGACAAGGATCTGGAGATACAGTTACGACGAACTCGAGTTTGGGTGAAGACGGTAAAGTCGCAGTTGCGGATGACCAAAATACCCTCGAAGTAAATGCTACAACAACAAATGTGGCGAATAGCTCGAGCTTGGTATCTGATTTGGGAGGTAGATATGTGCCTGCAAACTCAAGTGAAGAGAATGGCTCTGTGGTTACAGATCGAAGCAGAGGTTCATTTGAAGATTGTGATATCTACGATGGAAGGTGGGTGAAAGCTGATGATGAGACAATGCCGTACTACCCACCTGGTTCCTGTCCGTATATAGACAGAGATTTTAACTGTCACGCTAATGGAAGACCTGATGATGCTTATGTTAAATGGAGATGGCAACCAAATGGGTGTGACATTCCTAGGTAAATGATTCTTGATGTTCTTGATACAAATTAGGTTTTTGAGTAGGTAACAAGATTTCGATTGAGGTTTTACCGAATTGAGTTTCGAATTATATTTTCAGTTTTTGTCTGATAAGTAGTACAATGTTATCTCTGTGTTGGAATGTAAAGGTTGAATGGAACTGATTTTCTGGAAAAGCTGAGAGGGAAGAAGCTGGTTTTTGTTGGAGATTCGATAAACCGGAACATGTGGGAGTCTCTTGTTTGCATTCTTAGACATAGTCTCAAGGACAAGAAAAGAGTGTATGAGATCTCTGGGAGAAGAGAGTTCAAGAAGAAAGGCTTTTACGCTTTCAGATTCGAGGTGAAATATCGTTGTTCTTAGGGAATGTGTAGTAACATTTCTGAAAGCTGCAGCAATGCATGTTTGCTTGATGTTTTTGGGATTTTTTTCTTGTTCTTGCAGGACTATAATTGCACGGTGGATTTTGTTGGCTCGCCTTTTTTTGTTAGGGAATCAAGTTTTAAAGGGGTGAACGGTACTAAATTGGAGACTTTAAGGTTGGATATGATGGACAAGACGACTTCCATGTATAGTGATGCTGATATACTAATTTTCAACACTGGTCATTGGTGGACTCATGACAAAACGAAGCTAGGGTATGAATCTTAAACAGAGAACTTGAACAAGAGGCCCTCGTTGTTTTTTTGTTAACAACGATTTTGATTTCTTTCTGCAGAGAAAACTATTACCAAGAAGGTAACGTTGTGTACCCGAGGCTTAAGGTTCTCGAAGCTTATAAACGAGCTCTCACTACTTGGGCGAAATGGGTCGATAAGAACATCGACCGCAGTCACACCCATGTCATATTTCGAGGGTATTCTGTTACACATTTCAGGTAATTCCCAATCAAAAATACATTCTAGTTACTTCAAAACGTGTTCTTGAAGCTGGTGTTCATACTACAGAGGAGGGCCATGGAATTCAGGAGGACAATGCCATAAAGAAACGGAACCGATTTTCAACACGAGGTACTTGGCAAAGTATCCTTCCAAGATGAAAGCTTTCGAGTATATTCTCCGTGATACAATGAAAACTCCGGTGATATATATGAACATAAGTCGACTAACGGATTTCAGAAAAGACGGTCACCCGGCGATATATAGAATGGTGTACAGGACGGAAAAGGAGAAAAGAGAGGCCGTGAGACACCAAGATTGTAGCCATTGGTGCTTGCCGGGTGTCCCAGACACATGGAACCAGCTCTTGTATGTGTCACTATTAAAGGCTGGGCTTGCGTCTAAGTGGTAGGTTAAGTCCTTTGGCTTATGTATTTGCATCGTTGTTTGTATGTTTTGCGGTTGTAAAGTCCCATTTATGAAGCAAATCTCCTTTGTAGAAAAGAAAGGAGGGTTTTATATTTTTGAATATGGCGTTTGTGACGGGTTCACTCATTCCTTGCATAAAGTTGCAGAAAAATCCTCAAATTTTCCAAAAATATATTTATTGATTAACCCATGTATCACATTGAGTGACATGGGTCTTAATTTAGTATATATTATGGTAGGTTTATAAATTTATTAATTCATGATATTGATTTACATAGAATTTTCAAAAAATATCTTACTTTTCCGTAGTTTTCATATTACTCTAACATAGTAAATAAATTTTCTTGGTTTTCATATTATTTTGTAATAATTACGAATATTTATTGTTTTATCATTGATCATAATTTTTTTAATAAATATAATCCTTAAATAAATATATAAAAGCTATAGTAAATTTACATTGAGAAAGACTAGTTTTCAAATAACTATACAATATGTTATGTTTATCAAAATATAATAAAATATAGTAATTTATTAAAATCCATTCTTTTTTTCTTCTTGCTATATATTATAAATTATGTATAGGCATAGTATCAGAAAAGAACTTTTGGTATTTGTTGTCGCTGCCATTGTGGGATTTCCCATTGCGTACTTAAGTTTGAACTAGGTTTTGACCCGCGCTACAGCGCGGGGGAAAAATGCTGATTTTGGTTTTAATTTTAAAATTTTTGGGAATATTGCACGATAAATTTGTTCTTGTTTCGAAGTGTAGGATTTTAATTGTGTTCGATTTTCCTTACTGACTGAAGACGCATATTCGACATTTTAGAGTTAACACTAAACTTTTAAAAATATGGTAGACTGGTGTGTTAAACCAACAATCAAGAATATATTTTCAATAAGTATAATTGTGTGGTTTTAGTATATTGGACCATTTTTGGTTTATTAAAATTGGGAAAGGGGATATTTGGTTTGTAGGTTGAGTTTTGTTAATCATATATCAATATATTGAGGGTATTTTGGTTTGTAAATGTTTTTGAACGTTATAAAGTTTTGTGTAATATTTGCAACACTGTTTGATTTTTTTAAGTTTGGAAATATTAGACATGAATCGGTTATTAAATGTTGTTTGGGAAGTGTCATTATGTATGTTCGTTATTGTTAAAACCAAATATTTTTTTGTTGTTTTCTGATTTCCACAAACAGAACCGAGTACATTAAAATAGCGGGCTTGTTTTTTTTTTAATTATAATAGTAACTGTTATGTTAATTAATACCATTTACTATGGGCTTCTGGCCCATAATTAAATATTTTGGATAAGGTCCATTCCACCATTGATGGTAATCGGAAGAAATCAATTCATTTTCCCCTTTCTATTTTTTGATTCATCTCCTTCATTGTTTGACTGAAATCTTGTAAATCGTGGGTCGAATTTATCATTCATATCTGTAAGAAATCATTGGAAGACGATGCAAACGATTCGTGAGTGGAAAATATATGAACTCTGATGTTGAAACAGATTGAGAGATATACACCCGTATTCGGCCAGGTTTGTACTTTTCCAATCGAAACTGTTAATTAACGAAAGCAAATTTAGTTAGTATCATCTGTTGATGGATTGCTATTCAGTTTGTAAACGCTACACTGTATATTGTTTTCCCTTCATACTGTTTGTCACTGAATTGTAATCTCTTTTTCCGTATTATTAATTTTACAAATGTTTCATCTTAATTGCAGAGCTTATTGTTTATGAAGCTTGAGGATTGACGGCATGGATTTATACAGAAGAGATATTTTGTTGTCATTATATAATAAGGTTAGTAATCCTTTTCGAGCTACCAAGTAGAAATCTATAATTATCGAGACTAGCAACCTTAACTTTTTTCAATAATCAATAAGGTTGCTAGGGATTATCTTAAATATAACTATAAGGTGAATATCGAAAGTTCAGGGTTGGTAGGGATTATCTTAAATATAACTATAAGAAAACATGTAAATGGTGAAAAAACTTAAAGGAACTTAATGATGGATTTTCGAGACTAAGTCATCACTAAAATCGTCTGTTCATTATCGTTAAATCACGATAATTAGAAACAAACAACATTAATTTAGAAAATAATAATCACAAAAATCTTCCTAATTATCAATATTTTAGTGATGCACAATATTGTTGCTAATTCAGGATAGTTTCAGCGACGATGTTAGATTGTGAAAGATATGTATTTTAAAATTATGTAATATTAGTACATATTTGGCAACAAAATATGATTAGTGAGTGATAAGCGTAGAATTTTTCTTATAGTTGTTAACCAAAAAAAATTGTAGAGTTTTCATATGATGAGTGACCAAATATGCAAATGCGATTTTAGTACTACAATACTTTGTAATAAGTATTTATTATTGATATAATATTGTGATGTTGCTATGTTTTGCAAAGCAAACCATATTGAAAATAGAGTTTATTTAAGTACAACAAAATTTTTGAATTACTGATTTTCTTATAAAAGCAAGGCTTATTGTTTTAAATTTGTTTATACCCTACCTTGAGTTAGTGTGCACATTTTTATTTTACTCAATTGTATCTTGTGCAGAGAGGAAGATGTTACAGATGAAGATAGTGATACTGAACGAGAACCCTATGTCCAAATCTATGATAAGGATGAGATGTATCCATGAGTTGATATGTGCAATCAATTTTCTATAGAAATTTTGCGTGCACATATCCAAATCTATGAGGGCACTCATTAATTTATATTTTACGAGTTTATGTGTTGTTGATATGATTTTGAGTAGTCTAAGTAGCTTGTTTTGTAATAAATATGTTGTTTGCTGCCAGTACATATTTGGAAAGACCTAGGATTGACAAATTTTTAAAAAAACTATATATTTCATAGTTTTTTGATAATCTTTTATTTGATCAGTCAGACCAAACAATTATATCCTTCTATTAATTTTCGTATGTTTAATTATTACCAAAGTTTTAAATTATTCACATTAATTTACCACAATTAATATATCTACTTCATTGACCAAAAATAAATAAATTAATTTTCCAGATATTTCATATTTATTAAAAACCTGAATAATATGGAGAATACAATTCATACATGACACCCTTTATGAAAAACAAAAACAAATTGATGGATGTGAGAATGTGTAGAACACTAACCAAATGACAAACAAAACGAAGTTATCAAAGATATCATCCCTCATCCCTCATCCCTCATCCCTCATCCAATCTAACAGCATCACTGCCATTATGGAACTGAAAGAATTCGCAAATTATTTGTTGGGCCATAAAATAAGCCCGTGAATGTTGTTATACGGGCCTGTACAAAAGCCGAAAGTCAGTTAGTCGTGTTATATTATTTTAAACGAGATTATTAACTACAATAGATCGGATCTCATTTATCTCAATCTTGCATAATACAGTAAACTTTGTACTAAGTTGACTTTTTTTTAAGCTCCCTCTCATGGCGATGAAAGAGCTCAGACATGGCTCCCACGAATGCGTGTTGACCTCGCCTGAAACCATAGCAGATGGCATATGCAATATGTGTTTCAAAGATAAACCTGTCGAGTTCGCATGTAGTTCTTGTAACTTCGATCTATGTAAAGCTTGCTCTGATATACCACCGAAGGTGTCACACGAATTTCACTCGGAGCATCCTCTAGATTTGTGTCTCCGAAAATATGATCAAAAGCCTGGACACATCATCTGCTCCGGATGTGGTAACATGTCTTCAGATTGTTTCTACAAGTGCAAAGAGTGTGAGATCTACCTTGATCTGGATTGTGCACTCCTGCCTAACATTTTCAGGAGCTGGGATATCAAAACAGAGCTCCATTACAGCCATGCTCACTTGCTTAAGAGGTGTAGACCAGGACCAGATGCTAGAGGATCTTGTCTCTTGTGTGAGCTTCCTTTATCTCCTTCCTCAATATGTTACGGTTGCGTTCATTGTTACGGGTTTGTACATGAGCGTTGCCGCAACTTCCCCGTAGAGTTTCAACATCCTGTGCATCCGCAACACCCTCTCAAGCGCCTTGATTTCACCTTAAATTGTGGTCCTGGAATATCTTGTTATAAGTGTAGGAACGAAATCTACACCGTTCCGGTTGGTTGTTTAGAATGCAAATTTTTCCTTCACCTGAGGTGTGCGGATTCCATGTTGCGAGGTTTGATGCACAAGTCTCATCAACACATGTTGTTTTATGTCGGTTGCTATACCTATGTGTATACACTTGGTTTCAATGAGAATTATCACTGTGCGATATGCAATAAGTATACGGGTGAACAGTTTTATCAGTGCCTTGAATGTGGCTGGAAGGTTCATTGCGAATGTATTGAGATACCTCGGTCCCTAGTAAAGAAAAATTTCCACATCCATCCACTTGCGTTTACAATCTTTCTAGGTGAGGATGAATTATTGGAGTATTGTGGCGTTTGCGAGACAATGGTACATGTAGGACATCATGTTTATTCCTGCCAAGAATGTGATTATCTTGGCCACATTGAATGCATTTTACGCAAGGTACTACAATTCTGTTTACTCTTGATGGAATTGTGTATAAAGATAGATAGTGATGATGAGCTACTCTTACTTGTAATCAACAGGAAGCGCCTTCGCCATTGTATTTGAAAGATCTCGACATGACAAGAGGCACAAATGGAGAAGATTGTAAAACCGAAAAATTGGAAAATAAGCTTACGGTATGGCCTTATGGTAATCGGTACACTGCTAACAGATATTAGAAATGTTTTTATTTACTTTTCCTCAATTGTTTTAGCCTTTTAGGTATATGTTGTAGGTTAATGTAATCGAGCATACTCATGTGATGATGAGTTGGGACACTGGAAATAACAATACATCATGCGGCATATGCGAAGGAAATATATTAAGTAGCTCATGGAAATGTGAGACATGTTATTTCTTTGCACATGATTCTTGTGTAAAGCTGGGGAGACCATCAAGGCATAGACTTCATTTGAACCATGATTTGACTCTCATGTCAAGTTACCCAACAGGAGTTATCATGAGTTGCAACACCTGCAAAGGGGAAATAAGAGGTTTCAATCTCTTATGTCGTATATGCATTTTAATTACCTGCATGCGTTGTGTAGTAAAGTTTGGGGAGTTACAAAGAGGGCAAAAAGTCATTGGAACCACAAAAGTAAAATGCAGCATGTATGTTGGGAGTCACCATTTGTTTCAAGTTATGGTATCTAATTCATATCCGACAGCTTGCACTATTTGTGATGAGAGGTTGTGTAGTGGGAAAGTTTTGTCATGTATGGAGTGTGGAGAGATATATCATCCTCATTGTATTGAAACTTTCAGGGAGAAACTCATTCATCCCATTCATTCTGATCACAAGCTTGAAATCAAGATGAAGGTTGGATCTAAGTGCATTGCCTGCGAACTGAATATTACAAAGTATGGTCTGTTTTGCTCTCTTTGCAAAGCCAGCTTCCATATTAAATGTAGAGAAGCAGTCGATGATGCATCAGGGAAGAACAATGTTTGACCTTCACAAGTATACTTTCTAGTTTCTATAACTTTTGGATGTTTGCTGAATGTTTCGAAATTTTCTTTCCAGTAATACAGCCCACTCCTGAAGTTTCTGTTACTATATGATAAAACGAAGATTAACATGTGGGATTAGATGCCTCTGTCCTTGTTTCTAAATTCCAACAACACAAGGTGAATATTATTGAACAAGGTTATGCAGAGTTGAAAGTTTCATCATGCCATGTACTTCCTATATATACTTGAATGACCAGAACAGAGAAGTGGTCTGATTTTTGCAGAGCAATCTCAAGTCATCATTTGAATCTGCGTCACACACACATTTTTATTTTTATTTTCTTATTTTTTTTTGGTATGAAAGTAAAATTATATTCAAATAATAAAATTTTACGGTAGCACCAAAAAAAAAAAAGTTTTGAGGAATTCGTAAAAACAGCTAAAATTTTATATTGAATGTAGTAAATTTTTTTGTTTTGAAGATTAAAATATGCAACAATGAGTTATCAGGTAGAAGAGAGTTCAAGAAGAAAGGGTTTTATGCTTTCAGGTTCGAGGTGAGATATCTATTTTCTTGCGGAATGTTTAGTATACCATTTTTGAAAGCTGCAGCAATGCATGTTTTTGCTTGATGTTCTTGGGATCTTTTTCATGTTCTTGTTGCAGGACTATAATTGCACGGTGGTTTTCGTTGGCTCGCCCTTTTTTGTAAGGGAAACAAGTTTCAAAGGGGTGAACGGTACTAAATTGGAGACTTTAAGGTTGGATATGATGGACAAGACGACTTCCATGTATAGTGATGCTGATATACTAATTTTCAACACTGGTCATTGGTGGACTCATGACAAAACGAAGCTAGGGTATGAGTCTTAAACAGAGAACTTGAACAAGAGGCCCTCGTCGTGTTTTTAGTTAACAACGATTTTGATTTCTTTCTGCAGAGAAAACTATTACCAAGAAGGTAACGTTGTGTACCCGAGGCTTAAGGTTCTCGAAGCTTATAAACGAGCTCTCACTACTTGGGCGAAATGGGTCGATGAGAACATCAACCGCAGTCACACCCATGTCATATTCCGAGGGTACTCCGTTACACATTTCAGGTAATTCCCAATCAAAAACACCTTCTGGTTACTTCAAAACGTGTTCTTGAAGCTAACGTTCATTTACAGAGGAGGACAATGCCATAAGGAAACAGAACCAATTATCAAGTTAATTTATGAAGGGGGTTTCCACATTGAGTTCTTTGGACTCCTCCAAGACATCTGAGATCTTCGGAATAGTTTTGTTGATATAACCTTCTCTTTTATCCCAAGACATCCCTCGTCTTGCCAATCATATGGCACATAAGGTAGCGAAAAAGGCATTAGTCTCTCGTGAGTTGATGTATTCAAAACTCTTCTAATTTTTCATTGAAAGTACTTTATGACCCAAAAAGAAATAACAATAGAAACAAAGATATGACCCAAAAAAAAAGAAGACTTTTTAATTAAAATCGGGCTTCAAGAATAGGGCCATATAACTTTTGTGTTTGTCAGCCACATAATGGCCTTTTAGCTGCTGTGTTTGTCCGCCACAAAATGGCTTTGTGGAAGCGTTTGGTATTTTTTTTTTCTTGAGTACGGCCATATAACTTTATTGTTTTTCAGGCCACATATGGGCTTCGCCGAAGTGCTTTTATTTTAGTTAAATAGAACAATTAATATAAATGGCATAACAACGTAAATAAGTGTTCAAACCAAAAGTTTTTATTAAAACTACTGCAAAAATATTAATATAGATTAATTTTCTTCCATTATTTTATAATTTTGTATGAGCCCAAACAGTAATATAATCAAAAATGCTACTCAAATATGAAATAACTTTTTAGCTTAGATTTTGTGAATGATCCTTCAATCCTTTTATTTTCCTTGTTAGTTGAAAACTGTTTAACCAGAAATGTCAAGTGGTTCACATTTTCGAACGTTATTTAATAAATTTTACTAATGAATAAAGAAACACAATAAAAATAGTGAAAATACGAGACGCTGAGAAGAATTAATGGGCTTTAAGGCCCACTAGAGAAAGCGTAAACCTTTTTGTTAGTGATCAATTCGAGAAAAAAGGAAATTGAATAAAAAAGTTGAGGGTTTTCGGCTTTCTTTATTGTTCTCTACTGTTTTTTACTGTGGAGATGACTGCTCTACCTTCCATAGTGGTGACGGACGAAATTCTGATAAGACTCCGCTGGAATCTTTGATGAATATGAAAACTGGTTGCAAGGAATGATACAAAATGAGTCATGCAGAGATCAGTGTTCTATCTTCAACATAACAAATGAAAGTAATTTAGTTAAAGAAACCAAACAAATGGATTCAACTTACAAAAGAATTGGAGTTCATTTAACAAATTTGTTTTGCATTTTGTGATGTTGATTTTGTGGCATGCATAAGGCGATAAACATAGGTTAATCAATTACTAATTTTGCATTTTTAGCTGGACAAATCACAACATATGAACTAGTAGATGTTGAGTTTCAAAATTTTCATGGATAAATAAAGAAACAATAATACAAGAGAATTGTGTATATTTTGTACCTTTTTCAAGATGATTACAATATGTCTCAACATCTCCACCTGTTAGATAACTTAAGGTTAATTGACTCCTAAAAAGTTTATTTGTATCTTTTGATGCATCGTTGAGACTTGATATTGATAAATCCATTAATCAAATCTTCTCTCTATCAAATATCCTCGTTCTATGAAGCTTTTCTTTCCGAATAAACTTTGCCAATTTCTGACATACGAGTGTCATCTCCAAAAAATTAAAATAAGTCTGATACTTTTTCACCATTTTTTTCTTTCTTTCAAAAAATGAATCAATTCAGATTTTAGGAGTTTTTTTTTTTAATCAAAAAACCATATTTTTCTCCAAATTAAACCTCATTAGCTTTTTTCCAAATGTGAACCACAACTAACCATCTTCAATCAAAAATCTTATATATCCGCAAAAAAGAAAAATGGACTATGTGTCTCGAAATTTTGATTTTCTTGCACTCTATAAAATTAACTATCCAACCCAATAAAAATTATATGTTATGTAGTCCTGACATAAATTATGTATTGTATATAGTTCTAATTTGGGTAATGAAAGAAGCTACATAATTTATTATGTGATGAATTTGGTTATATCATCAAGATTGTGTAGTGAGATCTTGATCTTCATGCAAGACTTGAAAGACAAATAAGAATTACATACAAAAATATATATATATTGCATTGAAGGTAAGGGAAACACCAAACTTAGAAAATGAATGATCACATAAATTAACTTCACGTGGTGAGTGAGTATCCTTTCACCTGAGGGGAAATATTTTGAAAAGGTCGGATCTCATATATCATACAATAAAAAAAAAAAAAAAAAACTCAAAGAAATGGGCACTCTGAATCCATTAATTCCGCCACAACTTTAGCCAAGTCGATGATTATGAAGGTGCAGTCACCAAAATTAAACCCTCTCTCTCTGCCCAAACTGTTATCTTCTTCTGCTTCCAAAACCATACAAGACACGTGAAATTTTCTCATTCTAACCAATAGTTTTATGGTGGCACCAAAATAGTTTCAAAGAACTTTTTATAAATAGCTAACAATCGAGCTGTCACACTTTGAATTTTCTTTGAGTTCCAACGATCTCGAATTTTCAATAAAAATTATTTGTCCTCGACCAAACAACGTCTCTAAGATATCACAACTTAATCTTAGTTTCAATGGGAAGATTATTATGCAAGCTATATGATAATAATAAAAGTAAAAAAAAAAAAAATCTTCAATTAATGGATTGGAAAGTAATTATGAAATATTGTTTGTTTGTTATTAAATTATACAGGGCAAGGCAAAGTATGGTACGTTTTGGGAGTTAAAAGTACAAGTCGACAGTTGCGGTAACGCTTTTTAGATATTGAGGAACACTACCGTCGCAGTTGCTACGCATGAACATGCATAGTATACGGTAGTAATTTTATTGTATTCTTCACATATATTTTTTTTTTTTTTGTATTTTACTATATTCAGCATTTTTTAGCTATAATGCAATGATTCGTTCATGATGGAATTAGTATTGTCGTCGGCAGAAACGTAAAAGGAGTTTGGAGCCATATCAGAACATGAAAAGTCGGTAAATAATAACTATCAAGAAAGTTAAATTATGTATTAATCAATTTTACTGGAATAAAAGTTAAACATGAACATCAAAAGCTCACTATAACCTCCGGAGTCCAGACTCCTAACAATTTTATATCTCAGTGTAAAAATGAAAATAACGAAGCAACACTTTAAGAATAAAAGGCTAATTTTAAGAAACTTTTTATCTTTTTAAGAAGAGAGATTACAGAAGTCAGAGTTAAGTAGTTCTTTGTATGAAGACGGTTTCAAGATCCGGTGGAGAGAAGAACTTTTTAGAGCCGCCGCCGGCGCCGTAGCTAAACTTCAACGACAGTTTCCGCTTCTTAGGCGCCGGAGGACACGTGAACACCTTAGGTATTCTAACGGAAGCCGCAGTTGGAGTCTTTGGACACAAGAGACCTTCGTCTTCCGTGTTGGCCAAGTCAGAAGAAGGGAAGCTAATCGTCGGCTTCATCGGAGAAGAACGTAAGGAGATTTCGGTGATGACCCATTTCTTCCCTTCCGTTGTTTCGCCAAGTTTGCTGTCCAAGTGGTGGTGAGTCTTGCCGGAGAATCCCATTAGGTTATCGTACATAGAGTTTGAGAGAAACGGGTGAGAGATGGAGAAAGAAAAGAGTAAAAGAGTAGCTTTGATGAACGAGAAAAGAGAATGTGAAGAGAATGGAACATGTGAACCAAAGAAGATGGTCTTATATATATAGTCAACAGCGACTTCAAGACAAACCTATCGTTCGATGTCGATTCAGTTCGCTTTTTTTTTTTTCTTTTTTTTAAAATTTGTATCTTAGTATTTATTTCCCTAGTTACATTAAAAAAACCGAAGAGAATATATAGTGAGATTGTGTGTACATTGTTTTTTTTTTTTTTTTTGATAGAAACATTGTATCTTTTTTATTAAATGTGAAAGTGAGGTTTAAAATAGACATGAGAAAATACTTTTTTTTCTTCTAAAGCATAAAGAATATTAAAGGATTTAAACATGGTAATCTAAACCATTTCTTTTGTCAACTAAACGGACAAAACTTATGTTGATAAATGTTATTTTTGATACTATAGTCTATACATAAGTGGGGTTTTCAAAAAAAAAAAAAAAAATCTATACATAAGTGCTTTAAAGCCAAAGCTAATACCAATAGTTTTATAATGAGTGAAAACAATTGTGATAACAATTGCATTAATGCCATAAATATATAAGATAAAGTTATAATTAATTCTAAACAAATTCTCTACAAACAACATAATAACGACATATTGCTCCTGCATTATGAAATTAACGAGAAGCTACTTCGAGGAATTCACGCAAAATACGTGTAAGATATTGCGATATGTATTCAATAAACATGAATAACTAAGATTAACTCTCTATATATATATCTTCATAAGTGTATATTAATCACAAACTGATAGGTGATATATATAGTCACTAAAGATTGGTACTGACTACTGAAGTCATATTGAGGGAAGAAACAAGAATGTGTGTGAGTGTCTATGTGTGAGTGATCCTTGAAGAAATGAAGAAAGTGTGTTGGAGTGTGTGAACTAATCATGGACCAAATATTGAAAAATTAATTATAATACTCAAATAGGTGTTTTAATGAGATAAATAGGGAACCCGACCAAACGCGTGACTCTATCTAAGCCATAGTATATGAATGGAATTTGCACTTGCTATTTTTAAAATCAATGTTATGGAGGAGTAATCAATAAACCATTTCTATATTATTTTCCGTGCATGTAATTAATGAAGTAACGAGATAGAGAGTTTCGTTTCAAAGTTTTTTGAATTTTTTTTAAAGTCAATGTATGCTCTATTTGTACTGACCCTATATATATCATACCTTTGACTCTATTTTCTCTAGTCACTAGCTAGTGGAGTTATTGGTAGTAGCGCGGGACTGTTTTTGTTCAGCTTCGCATATGCCAAAAGCCTCAGCTAAATGCGACACATAATATGAATTTACTAATGTATGGAACTGAGACAACTGTTCACTACATATATAACCAAGTGAACTCGTTTCACTTAGTTTAGATTTCATTGTTTTTATGATTCATCACATGTGCCTAATCTTTTTTGAATGTACATCTTTGAACAAGGACACACACACTCACACATAGTATTCGTAAAATACTTAAGACAATCAGACAAAACCCGAAATAATTAGGAAATAACTTGAGCCAAAAAAATGGACAATTACACCAAAACATGTTTGAAGCTACGGGCTCCCTCTTTTAAGATATCATAATTTTTATAGTAAGAACTCATGCAAGTTTGAAAGCCCTATACGTTTCGAAAGATGTGAGATCTCATGTTTAAGAATAAAGATGTGACATCGATCTAATCAAAGATGAGATGTCAACATGAAAATTCCTCTGTATTCTTAAACAGAAACAATTTTTTTTTTTTTTTTTTTGTAAACTTGGTTAAGGAAAAGCTTGTCGCAAAGGACCGGACCAACCCATTTTGACACTTCCACAAATTCACATTCTATGGTTTTTCTACAAAACGAATATTATATCCACAAATAGATTAGGACAATTGTTTTTTTTTTTTTGGTTAAAACCTTTGCTTAACACTCCCGTTGGAGCTGGTCTAAACTGCTTAAATAAGCTCCATATTCTCTACATGCATGGTTTTAAATAGTGTGCAATATATTACCTTCACACGCTTCCATGTTTCCATACCTTGGATTTTGGATGAATAAAGTTAAAATGCAATGAACCGGGTTCGATTTTCAAATTAAACAGTTTGGTTCGGTTCGGTTCGGTTCGGTTCGGTTCGGTTCGGATCAGATCGGTTTATCTGGATCGCACGCCCCTAGTTAAAACGGAAACTGTAGAAAACGACGCCGTGTTAGTGGAACACAGAGGCGAATATGGGAAGCTCTAAATCAAAAGAGTAGCTAGAGAGAAATCAAGGAACGATAACGAAATCGATCAGATCGCCAGAAACAAAAAAAACACCAATAGCGAAATGAGAAATCTCAGCTGGGAGAGATCTATCTCAATCTCCTTGTAGATGTTGCTACTTCTTCTTCTCCATAGAAACGATAATTTCAGCAGATCTCGCTGATTAATCAATCCGCATTTTGGATCTGATTCGAAACTCCTAGGTAAGAACATGGCAGGAGCGGCCTCCGCGCTGTTTCTGCTTGATATCAAAGGGCGCGTTCTCGTCTGGCGTGATTACCGTGGCGACGTCTCCGCTGCTCAAGCCGAGCGATTCTTCACTAAGCTCATCGATAAAGAGGTTTTTTCACGATTTTTTTTGTTCTGTGATTTTCCTCTTTTTGTCGCGCATTGATCTGTGTTTATTGCTGGGGGTTACTGTAGAATTATCAGGGAATATAGAGTTTGTTGATGAACTTGTAGATTTGTGTTTAGAGAGGTTTCGTCAATTGGAATTTAGACATTTCTAAGCAATGGAACACGCTTGATTGGTTTAAAAAGCTTGGTTCATGTCTGTTTTTATCTGTAGTAGAAATAAAATTCTATAATGGATTCATGTCCGTCTCTGTGATCTGATGCCACTGCAACTGTTGGGAGTAATGAATAAGTTTGGTCATTGGTTAAATGGTTTGGATTAGGATTAGATCTGAATCAGCATTTTAAAGCTGTTTGGTTTAGAATCAGAGTTTTAAGCAGGGTGATCTAAATCATCATCGTTTTGTTTAATTGTTCAGGGTGATTCACAGTCAAATGATCCAGTTGCTTACGATAATGGTGTTACTTATATGTTTGTACAACATAGTAATGTATACTTGATGATAGCATCCAGACAGAATTGTAATGCTGCCAGTCTTCTCTTCTTTCTTCACCGCGTAGTGGATGTAAGTATGGCTAGTTAATTCTTCATTTTTTCTCTTACGGCTCCATCTTTTTTCATGGATGTATGATGTAATGGCAGTGGTTTCTATTATCTTGTTATAGGTTTTCAAGCATTACTTCGAGGAATTAGAAGAGGAATCATTGAGGGATAACTTTGTGGTAGTGGTATGTATAGCTTCTGCCATCGCTCTATAGTACTATTTGGCGATATATTTTCTATTACTTGGCTAATTAAAAAGATCCTTAAATTTATGGAGACGTTTTTGTCAATGTTGGATGCTGAAATTGATTTCTGGTGCTGGCAGTATGAGCTACTTGACGAGATGATGGACTTTGGTTACCCTCAGTATACCGAAGCAAGAATTCTCAGTGAATTCATTAAGACTGATGCATATAGAATGGAAGTTACACAGAGACCTCCAATGGCTGTGACAAATGCTGTCTCCTGGAGGAGTGAGGGAATACAGTACAAGAAGAATGAAGTAAGTGCTTTTTTTTTTTCAAGAGAGGAATATGTTTGTTTTGTGTTTCTGTTTGCAAATGATGACAACCTGCTCCCTTTTCCAGGTTTTCTTGGATGTAATTGAGAATGTAAATATTCTTGTCAACAGTAATGGGCAAATTGTGAGGTCTGATGTTGTTGGAGCGCTGAAGATGCGAACTTACTTGACGTATGTCAACACATGAAATTTTAGATATAGTTTCTAATCAGCCAAAACATATTTTGTCACGTCCCTTTTGCTTTATTCTCTCTCTTGGCGTTTTATTTAAGTCTCTTTTGCTTTGATCCATTCTATTGCAGTGGAATGCCAGAGTGTAAGTTAGGACTGAATGATAGAGTATTGCTGGAAGCGCAAGGAAGAGCAACAAAGGGAAAAGCCATTGATTTAGAGGACATCAAATTTCATCAGTACGTCTTCAAGCTTCTGTTTATATTGAAACTTGGAAAGCCTTCATTGATCCTAACCCTATTTTCTTTTATTAAAAACGACTTTATACTTGAGTTTTGTGTATTCTTCAACAACCAATTATTTAATGCAGGTGTGTTCGATTGGCGCGTTTTGAAAACGATAGGACGATTTCTTTCATACCACCTGATGGGGCTTTTGATCTAATGACATATAGACTCAGTACTCAGGTTTGACATGTAGAATAGTACATCTACTGGATTTTTTCCGCTTCTTCAACAAGTATATATCATAATTTGCTTCTTTTATATTCAGGTAAAGCCTCTAATATGGGTGGAAGCGCAAATAGAAAGTCACTCAAGAAGTCGTGTTGAGATGCTTGTAAAAGCTAGAAGTCAGTTCAAGGAACGAAGGTATGTAAATATATTCTGCGATATTGAGCCACTTTTCCTTTCCCGAATCCTATAATCCAAAGATCTTGATGACCAGATTCTCAAACCTTTGATAAATTTTCTATCTGCAGCACCGCAACGAACGTTGAGATTGAGTTGCCTGTACCAACCGATGCATCTAACCCAACTGTTAGGACATCTCTTGGCTCTGCCTCTTATGCTCCTGAAAAGGATGCGTTAGTCTGGAAAATCAAATCTTTCCCCGGGAACAAGGTAGAAGCTTATAACACTAGCAAGTTTCGAAATATTCTTATATCCAGTTGAAACAATCAGCAATTTAGCATGAGTGCTAACCTTCAGAAAACCAATATAGGAGTACATGTTAAGGGCAGAGTTCCATCTTCCCAGTATTACTGCAGAGGAAGCAACACCTGAGCGAAAAGCTCCTATCCGTGTCAAATTCGAGATCCCTTATTTTACCGTTTCAGGGATTCAGGTAAGCTTGTGCTCAATAATAAATGGTTTCTACATCTTCTGCAAATCCCATTGCTTTAACAGTGTCGTATTTTAAAATATATGTCTTTTTCTGCGTGTAGGTTCGGTACCTGAAGATAATTGAGAAGAGCGGGTACCAAGCACTTCCATGGGTGAGATACATAACCATGGCTGGTGAGTACGAACTAAGACTTGTGTAAGGCTCATTCAGTTTCATCGTCAATGTCATTGTGATTCCCACATTCCTAAGCAAAACGAAACAACACAAAAGTAGAGAGAAAAAGAACACGTTTTGAAACATTTTAGCTGATCAAATTTCCCCTTTTGAATTTGTTTTAGAAGCCATATTCTTGTGAATTTGTCTCTATGGTAATTTTATTTTTATTTTACTTGCGGCTCTTTGTAACCTTCACGGAACATGATTCTTGTTTTTTTCTTACATACACTGTCTAAGTTTTTTGTTCTTCGATCAAATTGTTATACAATGAGGTTTTGGTTCTTGATCATAAAAAAAAAACTACTACAGACACATACAATTAGAGTGAGATGAGTACGTCCTACCAAAAAAAAAAAAAGAGTGAGATGAGTACTTTGCCAACTATAGTATTGTCAAAATGAACCAAAATGTAGATATGGGCTACAATGAAATGAATCGTCAGGCCCATTAAAAGGTCCATAATCAGATTCTTTCGCCTTTCACTCCGCTTCGAGCTTGAAACGTGACAGTGAATTAGGGTTTTACCCAAAACCTTCTCGTCCGTCGTTGCTCACTCATTCCGACGGAGAAAATGGCGATGCGACATTTGGGCCGATCGAGAGACGTCACGAAGAGATCTACGAAGAAGTACATCGAAGAACCGCTTTACCATCGGCTCTTCAAAGATGGCGGCACAGAGGTCAAAGTTCGACAGCAGCTGAATCAGTTCCTCAAGGGCACTAAGCACGTTTTCAAATGGGAGGTCGGTGATACGATCAAGAAGCTCCGAAATCGTGGTCTCTATTACCCAGCTCTCAAGGTTTTATAAATCAAAATCAATCTTATTCCTGGGAAATTGCATTTTCGATTCTTTCGGATTAGATTCACAATGATTTTCAAATTATGCTACCATTTTCATCAACCTGTTAGAGAAATGTAGATTCTTTAAGTGGTAGTTTGATGCTCATTATGAACAAATTAGTAACTGTTGAATGTCTTCTGTGGTGTGAGCTCGAAACTGTAAACTAGATTTTGGCTGTGTGATGATTGTTTCTTGAGGATTTATATTGTAGAGTTGTTTTGCGTTTGTTTGTAGCTCTCTGAAGTTATGGAGGAGAGAGGTATGAACAAGACAGTGAGTGATCAAGCAATCCATCTTGATCTTGTTGCCAAAGCTCGGGGAATCACGGCTGGGGAGAATTATTTTGTTGATCTTCCAGAAACATCTAAGACAGAACTCACGTATGGGTCTCTTTTGAACTGCTACTGCAAGGAGTTGATGGCGGAGAAAGCGGAAGGTTTATTGAACAAGATGAAAGAGCTCAACATTACTCCTAGTTCCATGTCTTATAACAGTCTTATGACTCTTTACACCAAGACGGGTCAGCCTGAGAAGGTTCCAGCAATGATCCAAGAATTGAAGGCCGAGAATGTAATGCCGGATTCATACACATACAATGTATGGATGAGGGCTTTGGCTGCTACTAATGATATTTCTGGTGTTGAGAGAGTCATTGATGAGATGAATAGAGATGGTAGAGTAGCTCCAGATTGGACTACATACAGCAATATGGCATCTATATATGTTGATGCTGGACTGACTCAGAAAGCTGAGAAGGCCCTTCAGGAACTGGAGATGAAAAACACGCAACGGGATTTTACGGCATATCAGTTTCTTATCACATTGTATGGAAGACTGGGGAAATTGACTGAAGTTTACAGGATTTGGCGTTCATTGAGGCTGGCTATTCCGAAAACCTCAAATGTTGCCTATCTAAACATGATACAAGTGCTGGTGAACTTGAAAGATTTGCCGGGTGCAGAGACACTGTTCAAGGAATGGCAAGCTAACTGTTCTACTTATGACATCAGGATCGTAAATGTGTTGATTGGAGCTTATGCTAAAGAAGGTCTCATCGAAAAGGCAAGAGAGCTCAAGGAGAAAGCTCCTAGAAGAGGAGGCAAAGCCAATGCTAAAACCTGGGAAATCTTCATGGATTACTATGTAAAGAAAGCTGATATGGATCAAGCACTTGAATGTATGTCTAAGGCTGTTTCTATCGGCAGAGGAGATGGTGGCAAATGGCTACCGTCACAGGAAACAATCAGAACTTTGATGAGCCATTTCGAGCAAAAGAAAGATGTTAATGGAGCTGAGAATTTGGTGGAGATTTTAAAGAAGGTAACAGATAAAATAGGCGCAGAAATCTTCGAACCATTGATAAGGACATATGCCGCAGCAGGAAGGAGTCATCCTGCTATGCGCCGACGCCTGAAGATGGAAAACGTGGAAGTTAATGAAGCGACTAAGAAACTGCTCGATGAAGTATCCCAGGAAGAGTGAGAGGTCTAGTACATATCTCTCTCCTTCATTATTGCATTCAGGCAAGACATTATTAGTCGTGTTAGGGGCACTTGCATTTTCACAGCTCTGTTTCTTATTGGTAATAAAAAAACTAGGCTCTATTGCGGATCGGCAAAATCAATCGTATGAGTCTGCTTTACTTCACCTAAAAGACTGATTGTTCAAGTTTTCTTGTGAATTGTTTCGGGAGTAGCTTGGATTTACAGTTGAGATGGCTCTCATAATGTAATCCCCTTTTTGAAATTTTATTTTGGCTCCATGCTAAAACACAATCAAGAATATGTTTATTTGCACATCAAAGTATGTTTTTTCTTTTGTATCACCCTCAAGCCAATCACTATTTTTATTGCTACATTGTGAACATAAACACCAAAAATATATGCAACGATTTGATTGAGAATCAGGAGACTCATGGCTAAAAGTTCTATTATCATTACATTTATACGGTTGATGTTGTTGACCAAGAACAACCTCTGAAAACTAGAAAGGAACATTTACATAATTAAGTTTAAGCTTTTTTTTTTTTGTTTCAGACAGTTTTTGAGGAATTAGTTTGAATGTTTTCTTCTTTTGTGGCTCGATCACCTAATCAATGTAGCAAGCAACAAGCAGTTAGTTCCGATCTTCCTGAGCTCATCCACAGCGTTCTGAACGGTGTTGACTTGATGTGAATCTATGAATCCGTTTACACAAACCCCGTAATCTGACACAGCCGCGGTCAAAAACATTTTTAGGGACATAACATTTCTTTGCCTAATGCTCTTCCTTGCGTTTACAAGATTGAACGATGCATCCACAAGAGTCGCGTAGCAAATCGCAACGGTTGGATTACCGTGTTTGAATCTCGCAGAAGATGTAATCGCCAATTTCGTCTTAGCCTCCAAGGCTCGGATTGTGTTGTGTGTGGCTCGTCTCGGGTTTGGCCCTTTCACCAGCGGTTGACACAAAGTTGGGTATGCGGTTTTAGCGCATAGGCTTGTGAAACGCGCTTCCGTGGCTTGGCTTGCCGCGAGAAGGATCACGATTGCGAAGACAGTCGTGAGGTACATCTGAATTGTGGTGTTGCATGTCGCCATTTTCGTGAAAAAGTTGCAAGGAAATGATAAATGGGTGATCTTCTAATCAAATTTATCCTTCTAAATATAGTAACCTTTTTTTGTGTTGATATCTAAATTATTGGTAGTGGTAAATTTCTGATATTTCTTTTCGTCGGTAATTTGATGAGTTCGTTTGCGGTTTAACTTCTTTGTAGGGAAAACATTTATTCTCTGATTTTTTTATATACATACATGTATCGTCACAACTCACAATGATTGGAATGGGAAATTTTTTATGTTACCTCATCTAATTGGAATATGAAGACAACGACCATGTTAATCCAAGACAATGGTGAACATTTTTGTCAAAATGTGGATTCACAACGATAAATTAAGGAGAATCTCAATGGGATACTCATAGTGGATTTCACAATGTTTTACTCATGTGGTGGACAAAACTCTCAATTAATAGAGTTTCACTGCAATCTCTAGAGAAAAACTTATCAAGTGAAAACAAATATGTAGTTGCCTCTGCCCTTGTTGCATGACCTTTAGGGGTAAATGAATACGTTTTCTCACAAAGCTTTTGATTTCGTTCTTTTTCGATTTTTGTTGGTTTTGTTTGTTGATTTATCTTCAATCTATATCCCTAATTCATTTCCTTGTGGAGTATTATTATTAGGCGCTTCTTGCATTGTTATTATCTTGGTTCTTTTGAATGACATTGAAACTTAAGCTTAATTAATTAATCGGTTTGAAAAATATATATATATATATATATATATATATATAGAAAATGTAATTCTTTGTTCAAACAAACGTAATTCATGTAGTTTAGATGATTTTGAAACACTATTATAATTCTTTCATTGTTATTTTTTCTTCGTAATAAGGTTTTTAAAATAATTTTAACATTATCAAACTGATTCGATTTGTAAACTAAACTAACCTAATGATCAATTTAAAAACAATTCAAACCGTGTCAAAATAAATTTGTTGATTATTTTATTATTATTATCGTTCTAATATAATTTAATCCAAATCCAAATATATAAACACCAATAATGTGTTCAATGTACAATATCTTATAAACAATTATATTATTCTAAAAAATTAAGCAAAGAGTCTAAAGAATAAATTGTTTTGATACAATGCACAACAAATTTTATGCATTTTGTAGGTCTTTAATCATTTTTTTTCGCCAACAGATAGCACACAAGGAACCTTCGGCATTCTGAGGAAACAAATGCTCTATCCACTGTGATACAAGCGCCTTAATAATAAAATGCGTAAAATCTATAAAAAAGAATAATAGAGAGTCATTTTTTGTATTCTTTTGGTTTAAATTCCATATATTAGTCATTTTCATGCCACTGAAATAAAATATGTCTTTTCTATTAAATTGAAGAACACCAAAGAAAAAGAAAAAAAGTAAATGTAAACTTCTTCCTAAATCGTCAATTGGTTCAAGAGCAAAATATGGTTCCCAATTCTTTGGTATATCAATTTTGTTTGCCATGAGACTAAGGGTTTAATGGGTTTACATTTACAGTAACATTTTCAGTGCACTCAAAATACTTCTTTCATTGCACTTTATAGTCACTCTGTCTAATTATCTTAGATTATATGTATATCATAGAAATTTATATTGTTAATGATTTATTCCAACTACTGTGTTTTTTTTGAATCTTCTTGGAGAGGTCCAAAATTTTAAAATTCCAAAACATTTATAAATGATTGTGGAAATCAAAGGAGGATTAGTGCTGAGATGAAATCAGCAGTGACGTCAAAGTTAATAGAATGTATACATACAAATGAAGACTACAATTTTGTAATCGTCCTCTTTGTTTTGAACTTTTACTTACTTTATTTGACTAATTAAAAACTCTAGAACACTGTCAGTAATGGCGAGGCGGTGATGATTGTTTTATCTTCCACTGCACTCCACTCTACTCCCCTATAAAATCCTACTCGAATCTGCTTTCTGAGTTCACAAAACATATCTTTTCTTTAGTCTTTGAAACATTTGATTCATCAAATGGCAAAGGAATCTTGCAGAGTGAGGAGGATAAAGCTTGGGAGCCAAGGCTTTGAGGTTTCTGCTCAGGGACTCGGTTGCATGGGTCTCTCCGCCTTCTACGGTGCTCCTACACCTGAGACTAACGCCGTCGCTCTCCTCCGTCACGCCATTAACGCCGGTGTCACGTTCCTCGACACCTCTGACATCTACGGCCCGGAGACAAACGAGCTGCTCCTGGGAAAGGTAACAAATCAGTGACTGGAATTAGGGTTTAGGATGTGACTTAGGGTTTAGGGTTAATATCAATCATCATCAAGCTTTGTTTTTGTTTTCTTTTGGTGGCAGGCTTTGAAAGATGGGTTGAGGGATAAAGTGGAGTTAGCAACAAAATTTGGGATCACTGCTTCTGAAGATGGAAAATTTGGTTTCAGGGGTGATCCAGAGTACGTGAGGTTTGCTTGTGAAGCAAGCTTAAAGCGTCTTGATGTTACCTGTATTGATCTTTATTACCAGCATCGGATTGATACAACTCTTCCCATCGAAGTCACGGTATATAGCTTCTTGTATATAATATGGGAACAACAACTTGGACTGTGACATATGCTTGTGATGATTATAGGTGTATCCATAATGCTCTGTTTCCTCTGTTTCTTGTTCTGATTTTGGATAATTTTGTTTGCTCTTTGTTGTTGTTGAACTTGTGGTTTGCGTGAAGATGGGAGCACTGAAGAAGCTAGTTGAAGAAGGTAAAATAAAGTATATTGGTTTGTCTGAAGCTTCAGCTTCAACTATCAGAAGAGCACATGCTGTTCACCCGATAACTGCGGTGCAGATAGAATGGTCCTTATGGTCGAGAGACGTGGAGAAAGATATCATTCCTACATGCAGGTGTGAGGAATCAGAATCAGCCATAGTTGCTTCCCTCTTCGTTTACATGCTTCGTTCTATAACCCTTCTCCTTTGATTTCTCTAGGGAACTTGGGATTGGAATTGTAGCTTACAGCCCTCTAGGAAGAGGCTTCTTTGCATCCGGACCCAAGATTGTTGAGAATCTGGACCAAGATGACTATCGAAAGGCAAGTACTTGATTGTATGAGAGTTCTTTAAAGCACTTTTCAAGATTTTGGATTCATCTTATATTAGTAATTAGTATGTTCTTCTTACTGCTATTGTTCGGTTATAGGGTTTACCAAGATTTCAACAGGAGAATCTAGACAACAACAAGATTCTATACGAGAAAGTCCAAGCGATGGCGACAAAGAAAAGCTGCAGTCCTGCACAGCTAGCTCTCGCATGGGTTCACCACCAAGGAGATGATGTTTGTCCCATTCCAGGAACCTCCAAGATCCAAAACTTGAACCAGAACATTGGAGCTTTATCCGTGAAGCTCACTCCTGAAGAGATGGTTGAGCTTGAAGCCATTGCTCAACCAGATTCTGTGAAAGGGGAACGGTATGACAACAACATGATTACTTACAAGGACTCAGAGACTCCACCACTGTCTTCTTGGAAAGCGACATAAGAAACATGTTTTGTTAACTTGTTTGAAAGGTTATGCAACTTGGCCAAAATCATGGTCATATTGTGCCGTATGAGAGTATGTGTGTGTGACATGTGTGTACGAGTTTGCAATAAGAAAGATTCAATGCCTTAGAAAGAATAAAATTTGTAATATACTACAAATTACTGTAATGTTTTGTTTGCAGTGTTTACTAGTCACTTAATTGGTAGTTCACCAAGTTATCTTCGAGATTTTGAAATATTTGAATTTTAATCAAGATCAAGTGATATAAAATGTTATACTACATATATACTATACGTCTATAGAAATATTAATTCAAACTTATAAACATCTTGAAAACTTTTGAAGCAATGTGTAATTTCGTAAGGTTTGACGGTAAGCTAATGACCAACATTATCAAGAGGATCTTATCCTTAAGATTTACATAGGAAAAGATCTTGTGTAAGTGCACATGCATAAATCTCTTATGAAACTTCTTTGTTAACAGGCTAGAAGCATCAAGCATACATTAATAATAATTCTTTGACTTCATAACGAGTTTGTCATAAGTCATAAGTCATAACGCGTTTACTTTGTATTTAGCTTCCCAAAATACACATAAACTTGTAAAATATCTTATTTTACTTACCTTCCATTTCTCATTACTCATTTTCCAATCTCTCTGAGCATGTCTCTCATGGCTTCTCCTTCATCTTTTCCCTCTTGCAACTATAAATTCAATGTCTTCACGAGCTTCCACGGGCCAGACGTCCGTAAAACACTTCTCAGTCACATGCGCAAACAGTTTAACTACAACGGGATCACAATGTTCGATGATCAAGGGATCGAGAGAAGCGCAACGATTGCCCCTTCACTAGAAAAAGCTATAAGAGAATCGAGGATCTCGATCGTGATTCTCTCCACTAGATATGCTTCATCGAGCTGGTGTTTGGATGAATTGGTGGAGGTATTAAACTGCAAAAAGGCTATGGAACATATAGTGATGACCATATTCTACGGAGTGGAGCCATTTGACGTGCGGAATCAGGCAGGAGAATTTGGGATCGCGTTCAGTGAAACTTGTGAACGTAACGTGGACGAGGAAAGACAGAAATGGAGCAAAGCTTTGAACGAAGTGGGCAACATCGCTGGAGAAGACTTCTTAAGATGGTTGGTCTTTAATTAATCTGAACATTATAATATTTCTTAGGTATTAAAGTGGTCGACATTACAAACTAATTAAATAAGATAAGGGTGTTTTATATACTCTAACCAATTTATAAATACTTTATACCAAAAATCAAAGAAAATCTTAAATCAAAAAAAATTTTAAATCAAAGAAAATCTTAAATCCTTGTCAATCTTTTTAAAACTGTTATAAAAATTTTTAAAAACCATTGTAAATCATTTAAAAACCATTTAAAAACCTTTGTAGGCTTCTAAAACCCTTTAAAAACCATTACAAATCTTTTAAAAATCATTTAAAAACTCTTGTTAATCCCTTTAAAAATCCTTGTAAACCCTTTAAAAGTCCCTTTCAAAAACCTTGTAAACCCTTTAAAAACTTTGGCGGGAAAATTATTTTCTGAATAATTTTTTTGGCGGGAATATTTTTCTCGGATTTTTTTTTGGCGGGAAAATTTTGGCGGGAAGGTTTTTGGTGGGAAATTTGTGGGGGAAAATTTTTTGGAAGGAATATTCCTTCATTTGGGAAAGAATATTCTTTCAAATAAGGGTAAAATGACCACTAAAATTTAAGAGAGGGCAAAAATGAAAATGACAAAAAAAGAGGGTATCATAAAAAGGTTATTGGTATCAATTTCTCTAGATAAATGAGGTATTTATGAAAAAGGTACACCAAAAGGGGTAGTTCTCAAAAATTCTCTTTAATTTTTTATAATTACTTTTAATATTGTTTAAAAATTCTATCTATATCTTAATATTAACAAAATTAGATATAACATGTTGCAACATCGTATGTTTTTACTTGACACTTATCATGATCACGTGAGTTAGTAAATTTAAAAACCAAGTTTCGACATATAATCTCGTTTAATTGTTAAACTTAAACCATAATTTTAATTTACAAAGATAAACCATAGTTCTTATTTATCATTTATATACTCAAACCAACAAATAACCTGATTTAATTGTAAAATTAAAGTTTAAACCTTAATCCTCTTCCGTAAACAAAAACCGCCATATATTCTTGTTAATTATAAATTTTAAATCCCTATCTTATTAATAATTGACATAACTGAAATTAGGTTATTTTTTTATTTTATTAATAATTTTTAATATATAATTCTTTATAATATTTATTTTATATATTTCCTTTTTGGATAGGGTTAATAATATTTCTATTTTATCCAAATATTAACAAAATTAGTTACGATACGTGTCAACATTTTATCGTTTATAATTGACACGTGTCAACTTAAACCATAATTTTAATTTATAAAGATAAACCATAATTCGTATTTATCATTTATATACCCAAACCAACAAATAACCTGATTTAATTGTAAAATTAAAGTTTAAACCTTATTCCTCTTCTGTAAACAAAAACCGCCATATATTCTAGTTAATTATAAATTTTATATTCCTGTATTATTAATAAACCAAATTGACATAACTGAAATTAGGTTATTTGTTTAATTTTATTAATATTTTTTAATATATAATTATTTATAATATTTATTTTATATATTTCCTTTTTGGATAGGGTTAGTAATATTTCTATTTTATCCAAATATTAACAAAATTAGTTACGACACGTGTCAACATCTTATCGTTTATAATTGACACGTGTCACGATCTTCTTAATGGCTGACTTTGAAAACCAAGGTTTATATAATAAGATACTACATGCATCATATCATAGCAATTCTATATCTTAGTTGTATTAAAAATAATTGAAGCTAAAAAAATCATAATTGCAAAGAAAAAGAAATGAAAAATTTCTCAAAAACATTTAGAAACCAAATATATTTTTTTTAGATATACGTATATGCCGCAATCTTCTATACTTTAACCTCATGTTTATACTATTTCTTTTTGCTATATGTTAGGGGCAACGAAGCGGATATGATTGAGAAAATTGCAAGAGATGTTTTAGATAAACTAAATGCTACACCATCTAGGGATTTTGATGGCATGGTGGGACTTGAAGCTCATTTGAGAGAAATGCAATCTTTGCTAGATTTAGACTATGATGGAGTTAAGATTGTTGGAATCACTGGTCCTGCTGGCATTGGTAAGACTACTATTGCTAGAGCTTTACATAGTCGACTCTCTAACAGTTTTCAACTTACTTGTTTTATGGAGAATATTAAATGTATCTATTATAGTGGTCTTGACGAGTATGGTTTGAAGCTATGTCTACAAGAGCAACTTCTTTCAAAAACTTTAAACCAAAATGGTATGAGAATTTGCCATTTAGGCTTGATACAAGAAAGGCTAAGCGACCAAAAAGTGCTAATCATTCTTGACGATGTGAACAATCTAAAGCAATTAAAGGCTTTGGCCGGAGATATTTCCTGGTTTGGTCCTGGAAGTAGAATTATTGTGGCAACCGAAAACAAAGAGCTTTTGGAGCGACACAACATTGCTGATACACACCATGTGGATTTTCCATCTAAAAAAGAAGCTATCGAGATCTTGTGTAGATATGCTTTTAGAAAAAAGTCTATGAATCATGGTTTTGAAGAGCTAGCTAAAAGAGTAACCAAGCTTTGTGATAACCTTCCATTGGGCCTTGGTGTGGTGGGTTCATCTTTACTTGGGAAAAATAAAGACGAATGGGAATATGTAATACGCAGGTTAGAAACTATTCTTGATCATCAAGATATCGAGGAAGTACTAAGAGTCGGTTACGAGAGTTTACATGAGAATGAGCAATCTCTATTTCTCCACATTGCAGTTTTCTTCAACTATAAAGATGGTGATCTTGTGAAAGCCATGTTCGCTAGCAATAACTTAGATACCAAACAAGGGTTAAAAACCCTAGCTGATAAATCTCTCATATATATATCTACAGTTGGGGAAATAGTGATGCACAAGTTACTGCAACAAGTAGGTAGACAAGCTATTTATAGACAAGAGCCTTGGAAACGTCGGATCTTGATAGATGCGACAGAGATATGTGATATTCTTGAACTTGAAGTAAGCTCTCCCTCTTTTCTATGATTATATTCTTTATTCAATTTTTTTATCATGCATTTGGTGAGGATAAGCAAATCCTTCCTATCGTGCTAAGACTATATTTTTGTTTAATTTGGAATGATCGCATTTAGGGTACGAGAGGTGTGTCTGGCATATCACTTGATACATACGGTATTGATGACGTATATCTCGGAAAGGGAGCTTTTAAAAGAATGCCTAATCTTCGATTCCTCAAAGTTTATAAAAGTAGAGTTGAAGAAATTGATAGAATGTATATACATGAAGAGATGGAGTTTCCACGTCGTCTACGGTTATTACATTGGGAGGCATACCCAAGCAAGTGTCTTCCTTCTACATTTCATCCTGAATATCTTGTCGAACATGATCTGAAGAATAGCCAGCTCAAGTACCTATGGCAAGGAATTCAGGTTAGTGTTGTTTGTACTTTATAAATATATGAATTTTATTTTCTCTTCAAGTTATATATGTGATGCTCTTTCTCTCTGATAATTCAGCCGCTTACAAATCTCAAGAAGATGAATCTGTCCGCGTCCTACCATTTGAAGGAACTCCCGGATCTTTCAAATGCTACAAATCTTGAGACCTTAAATATGAGTTATTGCGAAAGTTTGGTAGAGATTCCATCTTCCTTTTCGCATCTTCATAAACTACAAAATTTGCTGATGAGTGAATGCAAAAGCCTACAAGTCATTCCAGCTCACATGAACTTGGCGTCCCTCGAAATAGTGAACATGAAAGGATGCTCAAGATTGACAAATATTCCAGTCATGTCGACAAACATCAAACAACTCTCCAGGATTTTAAAAGATACTGTACGGATTCCCGATTGCATCAAAGCTCTTGATGGTCTACAAAGCCATTATCGACATGGCTGTAGAAGACTAACGTCACTGCCAGAGCTCCCTAGTTCACTCATATTCCTAGAGGCAGACGACTGTGAATCACTGGAGACAGTATTTTTCCCTTTGAACTCTTCAAAAACGCACCTCAATTTCACCAACTGCTTCAAATTAGGCCAACAAGCACGAAGAGCGATCATCCAACGGTCATTTCGTTACGGAGCCGCGCTCTTACCAGGGAGAGAAGTACCTTCAGAATTCGATCACCGAGGCAATGGCAGTTCGTTGACTATTCGTCCAGACGGTAACCATTACACCGGCTTTGTGGTCTGCGTAGTGATTTCCCTTAGCCAGAGAATCACAGATGGTTACTCCGAACTATTGTGTCGTCGCATAGGTCAACAAGACTTAGACAAGGAGATCTACGTAGGCACTCTCCTCAACTTTCAAACGGAACATCTATTTATATTTTACTCTGGCTGGCTATTTATTGACCCTTCTGATATGACAAGAGAGATATCGTTCGAGTTCAGCAGCAAGCGCCACAACTTCGACGTTATTAAATGTGGTGCCAAGATCTTGACAGACTTGAGCAATCAAGGGAGCTATGCAACTGGATCAGGCCAAATAACTGAAATTGACACTGAAGTTGAACCCTTTGAAGACAACAACTAACACAATGATCCTACAAATCTCCAAACCGAAAAAAACACATATTGTTGGAGTTGGCTCCTTCTCTGCTGCGACCTCATCTCCCATTTTGTGAGAAACCTCTGAAGCTTGGTTTAGTGAAGAAGAAGACTATAGAGTATTAAAAAGATTGATTTTCTTGAATTTTAGAAACAATTAATAGTTTAATTATATATTGTACATTCATTATTTTCACATCAAAAACACTTTTTGATAACTACTTATTAACAGTAGATAATTAAAAAAAAAAAAAGCAGAGAAATCAAGAAAACTATGGGTCAAAAAGAAAAGAGAAAAGTGTTTGACTTGTGAAATTACTTTATTTGGTTAACAAATTCAATTTTGTTTTCGTAAAAGAGAGAAGAAAAAAATGCACCGACCTGGCAAAAGCGACACACGGCTTTTCCTCATCATCATCACACTTGAGACCATTCACACCACCAACCCAGCTCCAACAACAACAACTCCACTCAAATTCACTGCTTACAAGAGTCATATATAGAGAGAGAAGCGAAGAGAGAGAGAGAGTAGTAGTACAGAACTACAGATTCATTCATGGCGACTTGCGGAGTAAGGAGGATCAAGCTGGGAAGCCAAGGGCTTGAGGTATCAGCGCAAGGACTTGGTTGCATGGGCCTCTCGTCTTTCTACGGTGCTCCGAAGCCGGAAACCGAAGCCATCGCTCTCATCCACCATGCTATTCACTCCGGCGTCACTTTCCTTGACACCTCGGACATCTACGGTCCTGAGACCAACGAGGTTCTCCTCGGAAAGGTTCGATTTTTATCATTCCCGATCTTTGATTTGATTTTGATTTCATCTATCAGATGTGAATTGTATAGATGTGAATTGGCCTTTTGTTTCGTTGAGCTTCATAGCTTGAGAAATGAACTCGTATGCTGACAAAGTTTGGATTTTTTTCAGGCTCTCAAGGATGGTTTGAGAGAAAAAGTTGAACTTGCGACCAAATTTGGAATCAGCTATGCAGAGGGAAAGAGAGAGATTAAAGGAGATCCTGCATATGTGAGAGCTGCGTGTGAGGCGAGTTTAAAGCGGCTGGATGTTGCCTGCATTGATCTCTATTATCAACATCGGATTGATACTCGTGTCCCTATCGAGATCACTGTAAGCCCTTGCCAATCCTACTTGAGTTGTTAGAAATTTTAAAATGAAATGGAAGTTGTTTAGTTCACTACTTCAAGAGAAATCTCAGTGAGCTTCACATCTTGGCTTGGTATATTGGACTAATAAGGTCGAAGAAAATAGATTGGAGATGATGTTTTCTGTTCTCGATGAACATTGTCTGATGAAATGATCTTTAACAGAGCGAATTTGAGGCTTTCTCATCTTTTTCTACTTATAATCTCCTAATTAAAAGCCAGCTTTGAAGATACGGTGCCCTTAAGACTTGTTAACCATTTACTTTTTCCTCCCTTTGGAATTTGAGGTGTTTGGTGATTATTAGTCACTCAGTGATAGTTAGTGACTTGTCTTTGATTATTTCTTTTGAAATAGACTCTGTTAGGGTCAGTTCTGAGCTCTGATTCCTGACTTTCAGAGAAAGCCGGCATCTTTTGCTGAAACTTAACCATTTTTTTGGTTTATCAATGCTAAGATGGGAGAACTGAAGAAGCTGGTTGAAGAGGGTAAAATAAAGTACATTGGTTTGTCTGAAGCCTGTGCCTCAACTATCAGAAGAGCACATGCTGTTCACCCAATTACAGCCGTGCAGTTAGAATGGTCCTTGTGGACGAGAGATGTGGAAGAAGAAATCATTCCGACCTGCAGGTATTCAGATTTTATCTTACTTTCCTGGTGCAATATCTATCAATCATGTAACTTCATATTCTCTTTCATTCTTCAGGGAACTTGGGATTGGTATTGTTGCTTACAGTCCTCTAGGACGAGGTTTCTTCGCAGCTGGACCCAAGCTTGTTGAGAACCTAGAAAAAGATGATTTCAGAAAGGCAAGTATATAGATTTGTATGACTTGTTTGTTGTTGAGCCTTAGCTCAGCTGTGGATTAATCAGGGGACTTAATATAAACCCAATTATTGTAGGCTCTACCAAGATTCCAAGAGGAAAACTTAGACCACAACAAGATTGTTTATGAGAAAGTTTGTGCAATCTCGGAAAAGAAAGGATGCACTCCTGCACAACTAGCCCTCGCATGGGTTCACCACCAGGGAGATGATGTTTGTCCCATCCCAGGAACCACTAAGATTGAAAACCTCAACCAGAACATTGGAGCTTTATCGGTGAAACTCACACCCGAAGAAATGACTGAGCTCGAGACAATTGCCCAACCAGGTTTTGTGAAAGGGGAAAGATACTTCCCCATGGTGCCCACTTTCACGAACTCTGAGACACCACCATTGTCTTCTTGGAAAGCCGCCTAAAACCAGCTAAAGTTTCTATGGTTGTTATGGTGTATGACATTGAAGCGGTCTAGCTTTCTGTTAGCTAGATCAGTGTGTTGGGAATAATGCTGCGTCTTTCAAGAGCAGAGTTGTTAATGCCTTGAATAATAAATTTATGTATAGAGTTCCCCAAGTGAAAACTTCAATTTACATTTCATACAGTATGAGTCTGTGACCAAACTATAAAAAGTTAATTTGTTCTGATACAAACTTGAATCTTTCAAGCTAAAGCCTTACCAAAAGAAAAGCTTCCTTCTCCATTAACTTCTGCTCATCTTTACCACTTGGTTTGGTTAAACTTAGTTGATCAATTAAAGTATTAAACCAGGATCCGAGTGTTTTAAGACTGCACCAAGCCTTGTTTTTTACAAATCAAGGTGAGATTTTTATTCGGCAAACACAATCACCATCGTTACTTGGAACTGAGTGGGTCGTTCGATTTCAGCTAAATGTGAAACATTTTGAGTTCAACAATGGAAGGACTTCGAGAATCTGAACACCTTTTCGTCAATAAGGACCTCGTCGTGCGTCTCTCTTCTCTTTTCATCTAATATACTTCCTCATCTGTGTTGCACTTTTTCATGATGTCATCATCTCATTTTAGGATTTTTTTTTTCAATTTCTGTTACACTAAAACCTAAAATGATCGATCCTCTTTAGTAGCTTAAGAATCTCCATGGTTGAACAAGCTATTTGCCCACTATTTGCATTAGATTCCTTAAAGTATAGTTCTCAGTGGAGCTATTTGGACAAACTCTTTTTCTGATTTTAGTCTTTGTGTCACATGACAGGATAATACATCAGAGATTACTAATGCCAAAAGAAAAGTTGAAAGCCTCTTCTGTGTCATGAGAAAGAGAATTTGTAGGCACAAGTCTGAGGATGATGATGATGATATGTTTCCGGATTTAGATAATAATGCACAGGTAGTTGATGAGAATATTCGAAATTGTCTTAGACCCGAAAGTGACTTCTGGTTTGAGAATCTTATGGATAATTCTTATGATCCATTGGATGAGGTTTCGTTTGTAGACGACTGCTGCGGTGGCAGTGACACAGACCTATCTGAATCTTCAGAATTTGATGTTATATCTGAACATGTTCTAGATGAAAATGATTTGTTAAACGGATGGAAATTTCTGTCTGTATGGGCCAATGAAGATGAGGGAACTCTGGTTAGTAGGTGGTCTTCAGAAACTTTGAATTCTATCTTGTTGTTATCTCCTGATGAGAGTAGTGCAAGGTCCAAAGAAGATGACGTGTTGTCATCTGTTTCTCCCTGGTTTTACTCTAACCATAGCAATGACATCTCTCTCTTCCATTCTGAAAGGAAAGAAGATCAAATGTTCTGTAGCCCTGGGAATTCTGAAGATATTTTGAGGTGTAGTGTCAGCAAAGAAGATCCAGAAATCCCATGCAACTCTGGTATCCTCGAGAATGATGTCGACAATTCATATGCTAATGATTTTAGTTGTGGAGATGTCATCAACAAGCAGGGGTCTATGGAGATAATGTGCATTGATGATGAGCATAGACTGTGGAATAAGGATGATGAACCGGTACCGATCTGCATTGTACCTCCTGATGGTTGGGAAAGCATGTCGCCAAAAATGTGTTTACTTCATCAGACCGACAGATGTATAAATGAATACAACGTTCATGATGGTAATATAGGTGAAATCTCTCCAATACCTTTAACAAAAACTCTTGAAAGACCTAGTAGGCCATGGTCAGTTTGTGGCTCTGTTGCTGCAGTCAGAAACTCACCTCTAATGGAAGATAGCTCAGGTGCTTGTAGTTCTTTGGATGAAAAATTATATGAAAATGTTAATAGCTCTGAGGACAGGGATGAAGATCTTGCTCAAACCACCCCATCAACTCTATATCAAGACGAAGTAAATAGTGGAGATGAGATTGACATTGATGCAATGGTAAACCCTGATTACTTTTTACACAAGCGTGTCACAAGTTATCCTTCAATGTGTTTCCTGATCTCTGATATCACATGAATTTATCTCCAGATCCGCAAATTGAATCTCGTCCCAGATGATTCAGTTTCAAGCTTCAACAGGGAAGGTAAACCATATGGCTTTTGATGTCAAATCAATCATGTCACTAGTTCACACTGTTGAATCCAATATCCAGTTATGTTTCTCTCAAAGTCAAACTAGATTTGTCTCAATTATGGTTTGCTTCATGTTACCTAGAATGGAACATGTCCAAGCACCCAAAACATGCATTAGCTGGATTGGAACTCCGCACAAGGACTTCATTGCAAAGAGCAGTTATGTTTCATGGGGCAATTGCTGTCCTGCATTGTCGTGATTCAAAGCATTTTGTCAGAAAACGCGAGGTATGTTAGACAAATCATTTTCTTCTGTCTTGATGCTTTCATTTCCTATCAAGTCCTCTTAGTTACATGGCAGAGGATCATTTATTTGTCATAGGTAATTATTGGGAGATCATTTGATGGCCTGAATGTTGACATTGACTTGGGTAAATATAAATGTGGGAGCAAGATATCTAGGCGTCAGGTGATCCTCTTTCCCATTTCCCATATTAAAACTACAGGTCACTAATTAAGTTCTTAATTACCACCTTGCTAATGTCATATACTTTTCTCTCGATATTTTTGATAAGGCATTGGTTAAGCTAGAGAGCTACGGATTATTCTCTCTAAAGAACCTTGGAAAGCAACATCTCCTTGTAAATGGAGAAAAACTCGATCCAGGACAGATTGTAACTCTCAACTCGTGTAGTTCAATCAATGTAAGCACGAGCTTATGCTTTCGTACAACTTACAAGCATGTTTATGCATCTTTCTGTAACTAAAACTCCCAAATTTTGCAGATCAGAGGAATAACTTTTATGTTCAAGGTTAACGAAGAAGCAGTGAGACAATTCGTGAAGAACAGTTCAAGGAGAAAGAGTGAGGACGACAAATTCAGATGGTGCGAATAAATTTTCTTAATACCTTCTGCTCTACCACTCTCAGCATAATCTTAATGACCCATCAGCATGATTTATGTCTCACCTGGTTTAGGATTAGGAGTTTAGATACCTAATGCCAATGAATGAGTGATCTCATCGTATCAGTGTTAATGCCTTGAAGAATAAACTATGTATAGAGTTTCCTAAGTAAGAACTTCAAACTATAATTTCACAAGTTAAAACTCAAACTATAATTTCCCTAAGTTCCCTAAGTTAATGCCTTGAAAAATAAACTTAGGTTTAGAGTTAGAGTTCCCTAAGTGAGAACTCCAAACTATAATTTCATACACTTTGACCAATCTCTATTGGAAGATCTGTTCTGTAAATCTTTTACAAGCTAAAACCTTACCGTCATAAAGACTAAGGATCTGTTACTGCTCACATCTCACCCAACTCTACCAAGGATCTGTTGCGACGAATTGCATCGGTTCAATATCATTTGATTGATAAAATTTGGTTGGTTTCTTTTGGTTTAAAATAGTTGGTTCGATTAAACCAGGATATGAAAGCGTATTTGGTTTTTTATTGATCTATCATCATCACCACTCCACTCAATTAAAAAAAGTTTTAAACTTTACAAGAGATATAGAGAGAGTTGTTGTTACAGCAATCCATGGCGGCTTGCAAAGTCAAGAGGATTAAGCTGGGAAGCCAAGGCTTCGAGGTATCGGTGCAAGGCCTAGGTTGCGTGGGCCTCAACGGCCATTACGGTGCTTCGAAGCCGGAAACTGACGCCATCGCTCTCCTCCACCACGCTGTTAACTCCGGCGTTACTTTCTTTGATACCTCTGATATCTATGGCCCTGAGACCAACGAAGTTCTCCTCGGAAAGGTTCGATTTTTCGAAATTTCCATGTCTACAGTTTGATCTTGTTTTATTTGATTGTTAATAAGGGCAACAAAGAACGACTTTAGCAATGGGAATTGGCCTCGATTTTTTTTTGTCAGGCTTTGAAGGATGGGGTGAGGGAGAAAATGGAACTTGCCACCAAATTTGGAATCAGTTATGGAGAGAGGAAGAGAGAGATAAAGGGAGATCCTGCTTATGTTAGGGCTGCTTGTGAGGCTAGTTTGAAGCGGCTAGATGTTGCCTGCATTGATCTGTATTATCAGCATCGGATAGATACTCGTGTCCCTATTGAAATCACTGTAAGCCTTCTCACTTTTAAATGAAAGTGGAAGTTACATAGTTCAATACTTCAGGTGTGCTTGAGTTCATCTCAGTGACAGTGAGCTTCACATCTTTGGCTTGCTATATGTTCGGACTAATAAAGTTGAAGAATTTAGGATTTGGAGATGATGATGTCTGCTTAGGTTACTATAATCTTTAACCGAGCAAGATTGAGGTTCTGTCGTCTACTTATTTAAAAGCCAGCTTTTGAGGATAGGGTGCCCTTCTGATGTGGGATGCTTACATCGTCACTTTTTTTTTCTTTTTCTAATGTGGGATCTTATCATCCTCCCTAATGATTTTTCGTTAGACTAGACTCCTCAGGAGTTGGTTTTGAGCTCTCTAGTTTGTTTTCCACACTTCTTGACCTTTATGCTGGCACCTTTTTCTAAACTTCAACAATATATATTTTGTCTCTCAACTCTAAGATGGGAGAACTGAAGAAGCTGGTTGAAGAGGGTAAAATAAAGTACATCGGTTTGTCTGAAGCCTCTGCCTCAACTATCAGAAGAGCGCATGCAGTTCACCCAATTACTGCAGTGCAGTTAGAATGGTCCTTGTGGACGAGAGACGTTGAAGAAGAAATCGTCCCGACCTGCAGGTATCGATAATAAAAAAGGGAGCCCAAGCGGCATTAAGAATAGCTTATTTTAATCCTCCTTTCTTAAAGCACTATCCATCAATCATGTAACTTCTTGTCTTTCTTTTTTCAGGGAACTTGGGATTGGAATTGTTGTGTACAGTCCTCTAGGAAGAGGTTTCTTTGCATCTGGACCCAAGCTTGTTGAGAACCTAGACAATAATGACTTCAGAAAGGTAAGTACATAGGCTTTCTTTGACTTGGTTGATTGATGAACCTTGAATAATCTGTGTGATAAATCAAATAACTTAATACAAACTCTGTTACTGCAGGCTTTACCAAGATTCCAACAGGAAAACTTAGACCACAACAAGATTCTCTATGAGAAAGTTTGTGCAATGTCGGAAAAGAAAGGATGCACTCCCGCACAACTAGCCCTAGCATGGGTTCACCACCAGGGAGATGATGTATGTCCCATCCCAGGAACCACTAAGATCGAAAACCTCAACCAGAATATTGGAGCTTTATCAGTGAAACTCACTCCTGAAGAGATGTCTGAGCTCGAGACCATAACCCAACCAGAGTCTGTGAAGGGAGAAAGATACATGGCCACAATGCCAACCTTCAAGAACTCCGACACTCCACCATTATCTTCTTGGAATGCTGTGCAAAACTGTCTATGAGTTTCTCTAGCCAAACCGCAGCAAGAATATGTTATTAGTTTATAGTGCGTTCCGCCTGTAGAAACTATGCATATGCTATCAAAAGATAAATTTTATGTATAGGATATACTGTTTTCTATATTGTGCCTACTCTCTGCATAATGCAGACTGCATAGTCTTAGTGACCCATAATCATTTCATGGTTTAAACGACCCACTTGGCTTCGGTTTAGACACCTAAAGCCAATGAGTTAATCCCATCATATTTGACTAGACTTTTCCGACAAGACTTCCAGTAAGACAAAAGATCAAATTTGCCATAAAAGAGTATGACGTGAAGATACTTTAACATTATTGAATACACATCTGACATCTTTGAAGATCACTCAAAAGACGTACGTATTTTTTGTCTTTTTTGGTTTAAATACACGTACATAGTTCTCATGTAAGACTACAAAGATCATTAACTCTAAAGCATAAAATATGGAATAAAGCGCTTTTGTAAAAGAAAGAGGCAATTTGAGAGTTTTTTAGTCACAGCACTCATCAACACAACTTCAACAACAACTCCACTCAACTCTAAACTCTTACAAGTTACAAGTTACTAGAGAGATATAGCGAAAGAGAGAGAGGTGTGACAGAGATTCATGGCAGAAGTTTGCAGAGTGAGGAGGATGAAGCTAGGAAGCCAAGGCCTTGAGGTCTCGGCGCAAGGCCTTGGTTGCATGGCCCTCTCTGCTCGCTATGGTGCTCCAAAGCCGGAAACTGACGCCATCACTCTCCTCCATCACGCTATTCATTCAGGCGTTACTTTCTTTGACACCTCTGACATGTACGGTCCTGAGACCAACGAGTTGCTCCTCGGAAAGGTCCAAGATATTTTAGTTTGTGATATTTTAGGCTGTAAACTTAGCTCATGACAATATTTTGTATGTTCAAGTTTGTAGAATCTATTTGTTGAAATTTCTTATTCTTGTCAGGCTTTAAAAGATGGGGTGAGGGAAAAAGTGGAGCTTGCGACCAAATTTGGATTCTTTATAGTAGATCAGAGGATAAAAGAGGTAATAGGAGATCCTGAGTACGTCAGAGCTGCGTGTGAGGCGAGTTTAAAGAGGCTAGATGTTGCCTGTATTGATCTTTATTATCAGCATCGTGTCGATACTCGTGTCCCTATCGAAATCACTGTAAGACTTATCTTCCTTCATGTCACAGTTCCAATGTTTTCCAAGTTGGTTTATCTTTGGCTCCGGATATGATTAAACTGATAGTTTCTTTGTCTACGAATTCCAAGATGGGAGAACTGAAGAAGCTAGTGGAAGAAGGTAAAGTAAAGTACATCGGTTTGTCTGAAGCTTCAGCTTCAACTATCAGAAGAGCACATGCTGTTCACCCGATAACCGCTGTGCAGATAGAATGGTCCTTGTGGTCTAGAGATGCGGAAGAAGATATCATTCCTACCTGCAGGTGTGAGAGATTAGAATCAGACATAACGTTCTTCTTTTTGTTTACATGTTTTATTAACATTTCCTTTATATATATTACCAGAGAACTTGGGATTGGAATTGTTGCTTATAGCCCTCTAGGAAGAGGCTTCTTAGCATCAGGACCCAAGCTTGTTGAGAATATGGACAACGATGACTTCAGAAAGGCAACTACTGTTATTTGCATTGAAACACTTGATTGATGAAGCTTAAATAAACTTTGGATATATTGTGCTCATACGTGTTCCTTTATCGCAGACTCTACCAAGATTCCAACAGGAAAACTTAGACCACAACAAGATTCTCTTTGAGAGAGTATCTGCAATGTCTGAGAAGAAAGGATGCTCTCCCGCACAACTAGCCCTTGCATGGGTTCATCACCAGGGAGATGATGTTTGCCCCATTCCAGGAACCACTAAGATTGAAAACCTCAACCAGAACATTGGAGCTTTATCAGTGAAACTTACCCTCGAAGAGATGTCTGCGCTCGAGTCCCTTGCCCAACCAGAGTCTGTGAAAGGAGAAAGATACATGGCCACAGTTTCCACCTTCAAGAACTCGGATACTCCACCTTTGTCTGCTTGGAACGCTGCTTAAAACTGCATGGGTTTCTTCTCTAGCCAAACCACAAAAATAATACTGTTTTAAGAGTTTGTTGCATGTTTAGAGTCTATAAAAACAATGTGTTATAATTTCCTATGCATCTTATATATTGCTACAAATCTCTTTAAATCAAAAACATTACATCACCTTTTAAACCATTTAAGAAAAATTTGTCTGAACTGAGACAAAAATGGTCACAACCCATGGAAACAGAGGAGCCATTTCTTATGGCAGCTGTACTGAGAAATACTGTAAAATATGCCTCCAATGACCAAACCTTACAAAGATGTGTTCTTGATACAAACTTCAAATAATTCTCATCTAAACCTTACAGAAACAGCTAATCTATACAACCAGCTCTAACACGGATCTGTGCAACGAATTCCTATCTTGGATTGACCACCAAACCATTCTGGCACGGGAAAAATAATCAGTTTTGGAGACATAAAAGCATTTGCAAGACGGGGTTTTGACTAGCCTGCGGTTCAGTGTGTTAATATTAGCCGACAGCACAAAGGTGGTTTCCACTTGTTCGATCTTGTGAGTTTGCAAGAGATTTTAGCAGTAGATAAACCATCATAGTTCAGTCTGGGTAACCTCGAACAACTGCCAGTTACCAGTTTCTTGTGCTATTTTCTTTAGCATTGGTCAAATCCAGTTTCCTCCCCAATCAGTTTCTTGGCTCCTTCTTCAGAAAGATGCTCGAGGGAATGCTACAAGATCTTGGCTGAGAGACAGATAAAAACATTATATTTTACATCAAAACTGGAGTGAATTAAACGATACAGAAAAGTTTTCCATAATTCATCCAGATGGACCAGATCTAAAGCAATGTTCTTGTACGAGATCACAGTCCCATAAAGTATTTTAGAAGCCGAGTTTTGGGAGTTAAAGGTCTGACTATTTCAAGTGATGAGATTTTTTGTTTTCATGAAACAGAGGCAGATTTGGTAGACCAAGCATTAGAGGTTTCTAATGGTTATTTAAATAACGTTCAGAGAGTATGCAAGATTGCTTACCTGTGTAGTACTTATCATTAAACTGCTTGTAAGATCATTGTTAATTGAAACGGGCAGAGGTGGCATCCTGCTTATGATACCAGGCATCTCCTTCATGCTACAGCAATGTTAAGTAAGAGTTCGTAAATCACGCTTTTATAAACAAGACAGAGAAAGACTACAGAGAAAATGTATCATTATTGATCGAGCATGATACTGATCCACATACTCATTCAAGATGGCACTGATGTTATTTCTTGCCAGATTAAACAGACTGGTGTTATCCTGTGGCTGTGCGCAGAAAATAGTATGTCAGGCAGGATAGGAATTCCATAAACGAAAGGACAACGATTGTGCATGTGTAAAATATGATCGATGATTTTTTTAGTTAATTTTCTACTCATGCCAATCTTTTTCTACCAGCTAGCATTTAAATCTGATTCACCCACATAGAATTGCGAAAACAAAATACTAGTCAATTACCTTGCACGCAGAAAGGTTTGAAGAAATTTGACTGAAAGCTTGAGTATTCTGCCGCAGACGCTCCATAACCGTATCACTTAAACCTAAGAAAACAAGAATTTGAAAACTATATGAGACCGAAAAGTGTGGCAGTTTGAGAAAACAGTATCTAGCTAGCTAGCAAGATTGAGTTTTTCTTTTTTGAGTGGCACAGCTAAGGAGATGAACAGTTATTAAGAGAGTCCAGGAATACTCCAACATCGATAATGCCTAGATTCAGGCAGCAACATGATGCACGAACAGAAATTCAGATAAGATGCACCTCGTGATTCTTAGAGAAGAAGACAATAATGCTGACAATACTGTAACGCAAATAGTACTAACCTTCAAAAGGCATGTGTGGACTCTGGCCCATATTGTTCATGGCATATGTAGCATTTTGTTGCGGCACAGTGGAGAACATGTTCAGTTTTGGGGGTAAATCCACCACCTAAATCAAAAGGGAATCAATTACTTGTAGGTTGACTTTCTTTTTTTTTTTCTTTTTCATATGTATGTTGAATTTCTCAAGAGATAACTGATTGAAAAAAAAACCATTTACAATCATTTAATTTTTTAAGTTACAAAAGAAGATATACCCTAGGGTTCAGTTATGCAAACATACCTTTCTATAGCTAACCTTTGTGCCGGCGCAATGTTCTTCACTTTTTCTTCGTTTTTGCTGCAAAAAAGAAAATTCTTAGCAAAGAAACACTTGAAGGTCATGGATTTAAGTATTTGAAGATAGATAATAGCACACTAGCATTTATTATATACGTCAAAAGCGGTAATGCTTGAACGAGTCATATATTTGCATGCACAACTCAACTCATAAAATATCAAATTCGCTTCTTCAGCCCAACTTCATAGAAATATGGCAGGATATGGACAGTAAGGATAAGCCGATAAGATAATATTGGAGACTATAATCTGTTTTCTTATAAGAATCTTACACTAAATTGTAGGCTATACTGCAGACAATACAATCACTATTTAAACATTTTTCCATAACTCAAGAGTTGGTCATATGAAATATTATCCTCACGAAAGGTAACATGTCAAAATAAACTTAAGAAAGTCTAAAGTCCAGGGATATTTGACATCACCCATAAAGTAAGTTTAGTTTCAGGGAAACTACAGATATCAAATCAAGCTTTAGGGTCAAATCAAGTTCCAACATGACTCCTGAGCTAACAGAAAACCAGATCCATCGTCAGCAATACTTGTTATTTCTCTTCTTGAACACTCTTACCCATACTTTAGAAAACTTTTATGATATGGTAGGGTGTCTTTCATCACTAGAGAAATACAGCGTTTTAGCCTAACTTATAGCCAAAAAAATATAATTTAACTTTTCACATAGGATATTATCTTTAACAAAGCATACACCCAAAGTAGCGTCACCATGTTGGTTCCCTTTTTTCTCATCACCCAAGGAAAAGGACGGTACCAAGAACTCATGAATAACAAAAAGTATGCATACTGAAACTTAGTGACAACGAATTAGGAGCTTACCGTCATCCATTTACATCTCATTGCTACATCCCGTACACTTTTATCTCGTAGAGTTGATGCGATCTTTACATACTTCGTAACCTGTGGTTCATCTTTAAATCTACAAACGATAAGACAAAGGTTTCAGGCAGGCAAACAAAAGGTAAAATCCCACTGAAATACAGAAAAAGAATGCAAAACTCAGCCAGCTTTCCTAGAACACTAAGGGAAAAAAACTGATACATGAATCGGGTAATGATTCCAGATATCAGTATATGCTATTACACTTCATGGGAGACGCAAAGGCAAAACCTTAACATTTATATGCACTACTTCTCAAAACATACAAGATTTCTCTACTTTAACATTGTCTAATAACTAAAAAGTAACATAATTTGTAGAGAACAAAGTACAATGGAGAACTAACTTGCAAACACAAAAGAAACAAAAAACACTTACTTTGCAAGACCTTTCTCCAATATATACTGCTCCTCAGCAGACCAATCAACAGCCAAAGAAGCTTCATGTTTGAGTCCAGTAACTGAAGCCGGAGAATTTACAGTAAGGTGGAATCCAGAGGAAGCATTCATGTTCGAATTCGCCGAAAACACTAAACCAGTCGTGCTAGTACTCGGTACGCAATAGTTATCCATCGGAATCATCACTTTCAAGCTATTTTTTCAAAGCAAGTGATTCAACACCCAAAAAAGCACAATTCAATTTAGGTTTTTAGCCATTCAGAATTACACGGAAAGAACCGATTAAAAACCCAACGGAAACCTAAATAGATGATAACTTTGAATTAAACCCACCTCGGATTTAACCAAAACAGAAGAGACGAGTATGCTTCTTCTACGAAGCTACAGATGCGACCTCGATACAAAAACCCTAAACCTCCCCAACGATTGGGTGATGCAAGTAGAAGACTTGAATCGTGAAGAAGAAATACGCAACAAACCCAGATAGATCGCAATAGAGATGAAGAAGATTAATAAGAGGGCGTGATTCGATTCGCCAAGAGTGACAGCAAGATGCGAACTTTTTCTGAATTTGCAGAAGCTGGCGAGGAGAGAGAGAGAGAGAAAGAGAAAATAAAAATGGTGTTTTTGGTTTATATTCTTTTAAGCAGAGGAAACCACTTTTTTATTCCATTGTGGGTATTAGCTTTTGTTTTGTCCACTCTTTGAAGAAAGATGTGTGTTTTTTTGTTCGTGAATATTTTTTTAATCTCTTAACCGCTATTTGTGTGAATTACACAGTCACATTCACTTTGGAACAAAAAGTTATTTTCTCTATTTATATTACAACAAGGTATTTGAAATTCATAAAGTTGATTATTCGATTTTTTTTCAAGGCAAAAGGTTTGTATCCATTTTCAATGTTCTTAACATTTCATGAGAAAAATCACTTATTTTGAAGATGGACTACTCCTAGTAATTTTGAAGATGTTACTACTCCTAGTCTAAAATGTACTACTCCTAGTAATTTTGAAGATGTTACTTCTTCCTCCAATCTGAAACCTGACCTCCACATACCACAGTTTCAATATATCATTCTTATTCACCTTAGAGAAGCTGAGATTTGCCTATTGATCTACAGGTAACCAAATGTTAAAGAGGATAGCAACTTCAAGAGAAGTTGATGGCAAAACATACCAATTGTTATGGAAGGGTACAATAAGAAATCTTCAGGGCGGGATATCGAAAACCGGATCGCTCCTCAGTGCAAAATCATATTTATAGCTATGATTTTTGAGGCAAGAAATGGAAGAGATTCTAGAGTTCACCGATGAGATCTAGAAAGTTAAAACCACATCAATAGACATAATGACTATCGTCATAAATGGTTTGGTTTGATTGGTTTGTGCTTTTCATGAGTCAATGCAAAAACTGGTTCCTGAATTCTTGAACCTATGCAAGTGCTTAAGGTTTACGATGTCGTTGGTTCTTGTAGCTCTTACAACAAGGCATCCCTGGACCCTGATCACACCACAACCACCTGAAAACACACAATAACTAGTAGAAAAGCCTTATCTCTAGTACATGGATTTGGCTTTTAAACAAGTTAATTCAAATTCAATCCAAACTGTACTGAACTATTTCTTAACACTGAAAATGCAATCGCCACCATCACTGTTCTGTTTTGTTCCACAGAGAATCTGCATCTGTATATACTCTTCCTATTCCTAGTCCAAATACGAACTCAAAATCGGTGAAAAAAGATAAAAGAAAAGACTTTGTGAGAACCCATTAGAGGAAACTGATTAAAACCCTCCACAGCCACTGAAAGTTTCTCTACAAAGAGGAAGACAATGATAAAAAAAAAAAGTTGTGCTTTGACCTTTATGCCCCTCATCGTTCCCAAAAACCCCTAAATTACAATCATTTGGGTCAGCAATCTGGATCCAAATCCACCACTCTCTCCATTTGTCATCCTCTGTCGAAGCTTTTTTTTTCTGCTAGTGAAGATGATAGCTGTGATTGGATTGCTTCTGGGTTTTCTAGTTTCAGCATTGTTCTTACTTCAAGGAAAGCGAAGATCAAACGCAGATCAAGACAAGAAGAGATCTAGTAATGAGCCTGTAGAAGTCGTAAAGCCTAAAAGCTACAGCAAAAGCGAAGTCGCAGAACACAACAAAAGGAACGATTGTTGGATCATAATCAAAGATAGAGTCTATGATGTCACTCCTTACGTTGAAGAGCATCCTGGTGGTGACGCCATTCTAGATCATGCTGGTGATGATTCTACTGATGGCTTCTTCGGACCACAACACGCCACTCGTGTTTTTGACATGATCGAGGATTTCTACATCGGAGAACTTAGGAAGTAAGAAAGAAAAAAAGTTAGCTTTTTTTCTTATCCTCTTGTGATTGAAGATTTGAGATTGTAGAACCTTTTTGTCTTGCTAGTGTAACTCTTGTTCTTCCATTGTAATGCCAAAGTCTCCTCCTTTTCTCTGTTTATTTTCATGGCAAATCTTGAGTTTCAACTTCAGGGTTTTTACTCATTTTGTTCTGAATCTGCAAATCTGTGAGCTAAGCTCTGTTTCAAGTGTTCTAAATCCACCAATTTTGAGTTTAACCTGTTGTGTTGCTTGTGGGAATCATTGAACACAAAACTATTCAGAGTGATGAAGAATCATAGTATTCCACAAAATAAAGCATAGTAGAATTTGAGTTCTATCTGATATAAGACCTAAATAAAATAACAGAAGCATTGCATCTGCTAAAACCCCAACAAACTACCAACGTTCATATGATGAAGATCGGCCTCCAGCTCGGCTAGGACGGTCATAAGGACCAGGTCTGCTTCTATATGGTCTTCCCTCATCGCGTAATGGTCCCATATCAACGTACCTATCACCGGTATCCCTTGGGTATCTGTCCCTGTCATAGCTTCTCTCTCTCCCGCGATATTCATTCTCAACATACCGATGTTCAGGCATCCCATACCTATCAATCACCAAACGGTCTCCAGGTGGTGGGTATCTACAACATTGTTAATGCATTATAAGAAAACGAATTTGGTAAACCATTACAATATTGGAACCTTTTATTTAGATAAAGAGCTACAAACCTCTCCATTGGATAGTGATCACGAGGTTCATACTTGTCTCCACCCTCAAAGCGGTCCCTATAGCTATATCGTCCCCCATCACGCTCACGACGTGCATCCATGTAGCGGTCACGGTCACGCTCACGGTCACGCTCCCGCTCCAGTTCACGATCTCCATAGCGATCTCGATGCCCATCAACTCCTCCAAGTCTAGATCGTATCGGAAGAGGATCTCGGAACCGTCCTCGATCACCACCAGTTGATGTGCATTCTCGAGCCCAATGACCAGGGCGTCCACACTTAAAGCACACATCTTCACTTCCCTTCCCTCTGGATTTATGAGAAGGGTCTACATCATCTCCAATTTTGGGCTCAGCCTTGTTCACCGAGATGACCCTATCACCCAACTCCCTCCCATGCATGTGCTTAATTGCATCATCAGCTCCTCGGCGATCAGTGAATGTAATAAACCCAAAACCACGTGGACGGCCAGTATCTTTCCCCACCATAATCTACAATTACACAAGAAAGACCAATAATGTTATTAAAATGCATATAGAGCCAGGAACAAGATACATTACTACAAATCAGATGCTACATTAGAGACAAGAAATAAGCAGATATATTACATTCCAATCATATAGCATGTCCTAGATGTGGCAAACTCCAAACATTTACAAGCAAACAGAAGACAGCAAGATTCAGAAACTTCCATTTCATAAGAGCATTGAAATGAAAAACTTTTCAGCTCTTGAAACCCATACCACAACTTTTACTTTAGAATCACAAAGCACAAAGTCAAATCACATCTGCATACTTGTAGAATTACTAATCCACAAGGATTATCTCCCATACCAATCACCCTAACAATGATGGAGATTAATCTCTAGCCAACCATACTTTTAACCCTTGCAACTAGCACGCTACCTCAGAATACTTTCACAATACCTAATGTGCCCACAAAAAATCCACAGAAAATGCCTTCATGCTAATTTCACTAAAAAAGAAGACTAATATTCTGATCAAGACCATTATTGACCAGAAACTTATCATCTTGGTGTATAGAACTATAAAACTCTGATGTGAACCAAAATTACTACACTGATGCTGCGAAAACAGCCATAGGTAAGTGAACAGGATAAGGTATGAATGTATGATCCACAGAGCATGATCAAAAATCTTGCACTTCCAAGCATACTGCTCTCAAACATAACTTCAGGTCCAGAGAGGTTACAGCTGCGAATTTAGGTCCTAAGAAAGCTGTACTAATATGTTTTGTGGATTCTTCCTCATCCATCTCAGCCATGACTAAATGCGTGGATTCTTCCTCATCCATCTCAGACATGACAGATATTCCAAATATCTGGGCATCAAACCAAACCTTCTACAGAGTAGATGATCATCAAAAACAAAACTACACCCTACAAGCTCCAGAGATACCATCGTTCACTAAACACAAGTTCCAAACACGAGTCTCTGATATTTCTCATCATCTGTGTATGCAGCACAAGCAAAGAACGAGATTCAGACCTGACACTCGGTGATTTTCCCGTAGCGCTCAAAAGTACTCTCAAGCTGTCTCTCAGTGACATCCCAAGACAATCCTCCCACGAAGATTCTGCTCTCAAGATTCCCATCGTTTTCTCTATTTTTCATCGTGAAACCCTCACTGAAAGCCAAAGCGAAACAAAAGAATGCATAAACATAGTTAGCCCACAAAATCAAACTCCAGAAAAATCAAAGCGAAACAAGTCAACAACTTTCAATTGGAACTAACAATAGAGTCAAGAAACTTGCTGGAATCCGAAGCAATAACAACGAAACCCTATAAATTTTGCTTTGATAAACCCTAATTACTCACCGCTAATCCAAAGGTTAGAACTTTATACGGTTTTGGTGATTGTGATGGACGATGAAGTAACTGCTGTGGATTAGCTTTGACTTGATTATAAAGGATAAAACGTTGTGCGCTCAATGACTAAAACACCCTTAAAAAGTTGGTTAATTACAGAAATAACCTATAAACCCTAAAACCCTTGGACTCTCTTTTAGTCTATCTCTCCTCTTTTGAGTCTCCAAGCTCTCTTCTGCGAAACTCACGGTACGAAAGTCTCCTCTTTTCTATTCACTCTTATCCAAAGGTTGGTCCTTTCTGATTGATTTCAAATTCTAAATTAAGGGTTCTCAGGTAGTGTAGAAGCCCGAAGAAAAAATGATAAAGAGACGATTTTACAAGCTTGAGCATGGTGATAAAGACAGTGGATCTGATTCGTCTTGTTTCTCGTCTGACTCTGATCCTGAGACAGAGGAATCAGAAGAATCTGAGGAAGAAGACTCTGGTGCAGAAGTTTCCGAGGACGAAGATGATTCAGGAGATGATGAATCCCCAGGTTTGCTTCTTCAATCGAATCCATTATGTCTTTTATCTCCTGTGGTTGTACTTGATGAGAACCTTTTAGTAAGTGATGGTTTTTGCTAATTCTCTGTTCTAGCTGCTGAAGATGACGCTGATGTTGATGAAAATGATGATGATGCGAATGATGATGATGATAACTCTGATGGTGATGACTATGGAGGGAGATTGGAGAATATGCCAATGAATCGTTATCTAGAAGAACCACCGGAGGAGGTGGAAGAGAACTATATTCTAGGTTGTATGATAAAATCCAAATCGGTATATAAATGCAGATATTGCCCAACCGTTGTTTGCTTGAATGAGACCACAATGCAAGCACATGTTTCATCAAAGGTAAATTACTTTGCTTTGAACTAGGATTGAGTGTTTGGTCTTTCTGTGAATCAAGTTGAAGTAGATAGTAAGCATGAGATTTGTTTAAGGAGAAGTAAATGCTATCATAGGTAAATTAGTTAGCTTTATCATTCTAAGGATTGAGTGTTTGGTCTTTTTGGAATCTGAGAAACAAGATTATTTTAGCATTTGCTCTTCAATCTTGTGGTTTATCAAAAAAAATTTCATTTGACTCATTTCAGAACCATGCTCGTATGGAGAAATTAGTGAATGAAGGAAAAATCAGGATGTATGACGATGAAGTCTCTCAGGTGACATTTGAGAAAATGCTTACATGTGCTTTATGTTCTGTCAATGAGTCCTAACCAAATTCTTGCGATTAACTATAGGAGAAGCAGACAAGAGGAAAGAAAAGATCACAAAGACAGAGTAAGAGATCACAAAAAGAGGAAAAGGTAAATGTAGCTTTACCCATTACTGTAACATTAAGGCCATGGATCGTCTGTTGGAAACTTAATAGACTTGTATTTTTAATATGAACACCCAGGTTTCATCGATCAAACATGGAGACAACGAAGATGTTGATGATCCAGAGATGCCATCAAAGGTGACATTTGAGAAAATGCCACTAAATGCTTCGTATATTTTCCTATGAGTCCTTATCAAACTCTTTAAAAAAATCTTAAATGTAGGAGACGCTGATAAAAGGAAACAGAAAATCACGAAGAGAGCATAAGAGATCACAAAAACAGGAAAAGGTAAAAATAGCCTGCTCATTACTGTAACTTTGTGACCATGGTTGGCGTGTCCAAAACCTTGTTGATTCAATTATAATACAAACATTCAGGATTCATCGAGCAAACCTGCAGAAAAGGAAGGGGTTGACTCTCCAGACGCCCCATCTCAGGTTTTTCTTTATGACATTTGATCAAATTCCAACTAGTGCTTTCTGCTTTGTGTTCTTCCAATGAGTCATAACGAATTTCTTGCAAATCTCTTAAATCTTGGAGAAGCAGTTAAGAGAAAATAGTAGAACCCGAAGACAGCGTAACAGACTAGAAAAACAGGGAAAGGTAAAAGTAGCCTGCTCATAGCTGTAACATTGTGACCATGGATCCATGATCTTTAAAAACATTACCTATTTTTCTTATAATCCAGGGTTCATCGACCAAACATGGAGAAAACAAAAAAGTTGAAGATCCAGAGACACCTTCAAAGGTTTTTTTTTTAACTCAAGCAAATGGCAACAAGTCCTTTTGTTCTTTCAGTGAGTCCTAATTAAATTGTTGCAAATATCTTAAATTAATGAGAAGCAGATAAAAGGAAACAGTAGTCCTCGAATACAGCATAAGAGATCAGGAAAACAGGAAAAGGTAAATTAACTCTACATTGTGTGAGATTGGTTGGTCTGTGGAAACCTAACTGTTTCATTCGTTTCTATAAATATCCAGAGTTCATTGGCAAAACAAGGAGAAAATGAAGATGCATCACAAAAATCAAGAAAGAAAAGGCGTCAAACCAAGGATTGAAACTGGATATGTTAGGTCAGAAGATTCATCTTTTTACTTGGGAATTGATGGATATATGAAGAAACATAGGAATGAGAGTGAGTGGTTTTGAGTTGATTATGTGCTTTCTTAACTTAAAGTTTTGTCTACAACATATGGAATGATGCTTGTAACTGATATATTATCTGGTTATACAATTACTCTGTGCTTTCTGCTTAGTTCAGTTTTGATTTGTTTATCATTTGTCCTTAAAACATACATTTAAGAACAAGAGAGTTTGGCAAATATGAAGTTCCCAATATTTGCTTGAAGCAGAAAATCTAATATCAGATTTACTTTAAAATCAATATACAATTCTCTCACTTAGAGTTATTTTTATTTTGCTCCAATACCAAACCAGTGATCCCTCGCACTTCCCTCCAAATGGTCTGTAATTTTCTCTCCCCTAGTCAGCAGCACTCAGCACTTGTCTGCCTGAATCTTGTAAAAGTTCAGAAGACTTGAGTGAAAAGGACAAAAACTTTAATATTTTCTTCCCTTATTGTAGTCTTGGTCTCCACCATAGACAATTATTGATATACATATGTGTGTAAAACAGTGGTAGATATGTTACACAACATAATATTTAATAAATGCATTGAAAAAGGGAACAAGTGAGATTTGATTAACTTCTCCCACTGCTCTTAAAGTAAGAAGAAGCATTGTCTTCACGTGACATATTCGCTGTCATGTCCGTGATCGACCTTCTTCATCGAAGCTATTACAACTGTTACTATCATGACTTGTAAAACTCTTGATTCCATCATGATCTCTTCTTTCTACATGTTCTTCTTGGTGTTTGCTTTCTTCTTGATTTCTCAGGTGAGGTCAGACGATGTGGAAGCTCTACTGAGTTTGAAATCATCCATTGATCCTTCAAATGCGGTTCCATGGAGGAGAGGAACAGATCCTTGCAACTGGGAAGGAGTTAAGAAGTGCATAAATGGAAGAGTCTCAAAGCTTGTTCTTGAGAATTTGAACCTCACTGGCTCACTCGACCACAAGAGCTTGAACCAGTTGGACCAACTTAGAGTTCTTAGTTTCAAAGGCAACTCTCTCTCTGCCTCAGTCCTTAACTTCTCTGGTTTGGTGAACCTCAAATCTCTTTACCTCAACGATAACAACTTCTCCGGCGAGTTCCCTCAATCGCTGACGTCTCTACACCGTTTGAAAACTGTTGTTCTTTCCGGAAATCGGTTTTCAGGCACGATTCCTACCTCGTTGCTCCGTCTTTCCCGCCTTTATATGTTTTACGTTGAAGACAATCTTTTCTCCGGTTCCATTCCTCCTCTCAGCCAAGCAACTCTAAGATTCTTCAATGTCTCCAATAATCAGCTCTCTGGACATATCCCACCAACACGAGCTCTGAATCAGTTCAATGAGTCATCTTTTACTGGTAACATTGCTCTCTGCGGTGATCAGGTTCAAAACTCATGCAATGACACAGCAGGAATCACTTCAACTCCATCAGCAAAACCAGCAATCCCTATAGCCAAAAGGCGGAAAAGAGCAAATCTAATTGGAATCATTGCTGGGAGCATCGGAGGTGGAATCGTGATACTTCTTCTTGGATTGCTTCTAATATGTCTGCTACATAGACAGCCGCGAGTTAAATCCAAGAGAGAAGAGCGGAGAAGCAAAGCAGTGGCAGAGTCAGAAGGAGCAATGCCGGTGGAAACAGAGGAAGGCACCAGTGACCAGAAAAACAAAACGTTCTCATGGGAGAGAGGAAGCGAAGAAGGATCAGTGGGGACACTAGTTTTCTTGGGAAGAGACATCACGGTGGTGAGGTACACCATGGATGATCTACTCAAAGCTTCGGCGGAAACGTTGGGAAGAGGAACGTTAGGGAGCACTTATAAGGCGGTGATGGAGTCTGGTTTCATCATTACTGTAAAGAGGCTCAAGGATTCAGGGTTTACTCGAATGAATGAATTTAAGAGACATATTGAGACACTTGGTAGGCTCAAGCACCCTAATCTGGTGCCTCTCAGAGCTTATTTCCAAGCCAAAGAAGAGTGCTTGCTCGTCTACGATTACTTCCCCAATGGAAGTCTCTTCTCTCTTATCCATGGTATGTATTGCTTGCAACACTGCCAATACATACACCCATTTTGGTTATTTCAAGTTTTAACGTTTGTTTTATGTGTGTCTTGTTCGTAGGAAGTAAGGTTTCTGGAAGTGGGAAGCCTCTACACTGGACATCATGTCTGAAAATAGCAGAGGATTTGGCAATGGGTTTGGTCTACATTCATCAGAATCTTGGCTTAATACATGGGAACTTGAAATCATCCAATGTTTTGTTAGGTCCGGACTTCGAATCCTGCCTAACGGATTACGGTCTCAGTGATCTGCATGACTCAGACTCAATTGAAGACACAAGTGCAGCCTCTCTCTTTTACAAAGCTCCTGAATGCAGAGATTTGCGCAAGGCATCAACACAACCCGCTGATGTCTATAGCTTTGGAGTACTCCTTCTAGAGCTTCTAACAGGTAGAACATCATTCAAGGACCTTGTTCATAAATACGAGTCTGATATCTCCACATGGGTGCGTGCCGTGAGAGAGGAAGAGACTGAACTAAGCGAGGAGCTGAATGCTTCTGAGGAGAAACTTCAAGCGCTTTTGACCATCGCGACAGCTTGCGTGGCTGTTGAGCCTGAAAACCGTCCTGTGATGAGAGAGGTGTTGAAGATGGTGAAGGATGCAAGGGCAGAAGCAGCTATGTTATCATATAACAGCAGCGATCAATCGCCCGGGAGATGGTCTGATACAGTCCAAAGCTTGCCGAGGGAGGATCATATGAGCATATGAGGAAAGTTGTCGTGCCTTGTCCAAGTTTTCCATTGTCTTGATTTTTGAAGAAGTAACTAGGAGGGGTTCATAGTGTAAAAGGTTTTAATTGACGCCATTCTGATTGATTCGAGGGATTAATCTGTGAGCCGAAAAGCATATCTTTCAATACATTGCAGCTATTTATGCAACAGCCTAAATAGCTATAAGAGTAAGGAAACACAATGGTGGATCCAACTAGTTTCCTAGAGACTATCATCAGTTCTTACCATTAAAACAAGTCTGTATTAGAAGAAGATGTTTATTTTTCATTGACGTCTCCAAGATGCTCATGTTGTCCTTCTATAAACAATCTTGTATTCTTTGAGGCTTGGAAATAAAACAAAAAAAATGGAACTCAGTAAGACCATACACATCAAGTAGATCAGATGAATGCGAAGGACCCAACCAACGCTAAAGTCATAAGAAAAAAAAAAGAGCTCAGACTTAGGCCATATGTCATCTGATAAGTCAGAAGAATGCGAAGGACCCAACCTACGCTGAAGCCATTAATCCTCACAGCTCAAATGCACCAGCCGGGAATCGAACCCGGGTCTGTACCGTGGCAGGGTACTATTCTACCACTAGACCACTGGTGCTACTTGTTCAACAAGTCCTTCTTTACTTATTTGTAATATGGAATGCAACATTAAGTTGAATGGAATTAAGCCCAATTAAGAAAACTGTATGGATTTCTTAAGGTTTTCGATGTTTGGCAGAGAGACCTAAACATATGATATTCAAACTAAAGAAGTTGATAAAATCTTAAAAATACGCATCATCCTTCTTAGCTTCCACCATAATCTTACTTTCCCCTTAATTTTGCTTTCATTCCTCCCAAATACAACAATTAAATAAAAATAAATACGAATTAGTCAAAGGAAAATGCAGAAAAAGTAGAGAGAGTATAAATGGCGTCACCAGAGAGGCACAACTCACGGGGAATAAAATCAGCAGAACCAATACCCACCGCCACCGTTTTTAATTTATTTTCAAGATTATTTGTTTTTTTTTTCTTCTTAATTTCGATATTGCCACCAAACTTCTCCCACTCCTTCACCACTGTGTCCTGTCCTCTCTCTTTCTCTGCTTTCTCACCTCTCCATCATTCTTTTTTCTTTCTTTCTTTCTCCCATCCGTTTCTTTGCCTCTTTTATTCTTTCTTCTTCCCCTAAATTAAAGTTTTAGCCTTTAAATTAAATTCTTGGATGTTTTTGTTTCTCTGCGTTCCATTCAACAAACCCATCTTCTTCTTCTTCTTCTTCTTCTTTAGATTCTGAATTCTTTATTCATCGATTGGCTTAGCTTCTTCTCTTCGACTCCTTGATTTTACAGGTTTCTGTATATTCCGAGGTTAGATAATAAAAAGAATCATACTTTTTTTATTTGGTTCGTTGAAGATGAAGGTTTATTTCTTTCTTGTGTGTTTGCAGGATCTGAAGGAAGCTAGGGTTTATTTTCTTTATTTATCTGTAAATCGGATTGATTTTTTTGGTGATGGGCAATCTCTAAAGAAGAGGTAGGTATGTTCTTTTAGCTTCTCTTACAAAGATCTTTTGGTATGTCTTGTTCTTTCAAGTTTTGATATGTTGTTTCCATGTTTGATAGATTTTGTCTTATTTTAACATGTATTTCTTTTGCCTGTTTTGTTAGTTACTTAAAGATTCAGATGAATTGTAATCTTTGACCATGATCAAAACCATAACTCCTTGTATCTCCCATTGATAGGCAAGAAGATCATAGAATCTTCATCAAATATGTTAACTTTATCCTCTTTAAACTTGCTGAGTTTATAGATAAACAACTCAAACCCCTAGTTTTATCATCTGGATGTGTTGAGGAATCAGTCAACTCCTATTACTTAGTATTTGTAATATATCCAGACTTTCTCAACTCTATTTGGATTGTTATGTGTATTGCTTACGACAGTTAGTTCTTAGTACATCTTGGCTCTTCATAACTTTCAGCTAATTAGTTTCATCTGTCTGCAGGTTTCTTACGGCTGTCTATATACACATAGAAGATGTTGGGAGGCAACAATGAGAGCCCTGGGCCGCAGGTTCTAATGAACGATAGCCAGTTTCAGTACCAGACTAACACATCGTTGAATCAGCTTCACTCGCTTGGGACGAGTAAGTTTCTGATTTCTGTTCCATCATTTGGTTCAAATGTTGTTAGAACTTTACAAGAGATAAAGATTTCTCTTTTGTATGTGGTTGCAGTGAGAGCTGGTTGTACTATTGATCCTGTAAACTATTTTGCTAATGATAACCTTGCTCCAATGATTCGGCATATTAGCAAACGTGGAAGGGACACTGAAATCAGCAATAATATCCAGAGACAGCAGAAGTTGCAGATCTCTTTGAACCATAACTACAACAACAATAATAATATTGTTCAAGATGATGTCCCAAAGCAAAACATAGTGTCAACTGGTCTGAGACTATCTTATGATGACGATGAGCGCAACTCTTCTGTAACTTCAGCAAACGGAAGCATCACAACTCCAGTCTTTCAGTCACTTGGTGACAATATCAGTGTGGACCTCGATAGACAGAAAGACGAGCTTGATCAGTTTATTAAATTCCGGGTACTAATTCAATCTGCAAGCTTATGATATTGCTTATATTCACCATGTTGCTGAGATTGTACTCTCTTTTTAAACAGGCGGATCAAATGGCAAAAGGTGTGAGAGATATAAAACAGAGACATGTAAAGTCATTTGTCATAGCCTTAGAAAAGGATGTGAGCAAGAAGCTACAAGATAAAGACCAGGAGATTGAAACCATGAACAAGAAGAACCGGGAACTCGTGGATAAGATAAAACAAGTGGCAGTGGAAGCTCAGAACTGGCATTACAAAGCAAAGTACAACGAATCTGTGGTTAATGCCTTAAAGGTAAATTTGCAACAAGTGATGTCACATGGAAACGACAACAATGCAGCAAGAGTAGTAGCTGATCATCACCAAATGAAAGAAGGGTTTGGGGATAGTGAGATTAATGACGAGGCAGCTTCATACAACTACTTGAACATCCCGGGGATGGCAAGTACTGGGATGAGATGCAAGTCGTGTAACATAAAGGATGTCTCGGTCTTGCTCGTGCCGTGTAGGCACTTGAGTTTGTGTAAAGACTGTGATGTGTTTACTGGTGTTTGTCCTGTTTGCCAGTCTTTGAAAAATTCAAGCGTTCAGGTCTTCTTCTCCTGAGTTTGTCTACATACTCTTGGAAAGTTAATGATGGAGAAACATGAACATATGTGTATGTGATGATGATGATTTTGTCATTGAACCTGTATAACACGATTCTGCTATTTAGTATTGAACAGCTGTGCTTTGAACACGAGATACTAATTGAGTTCGAGTGCGATTTATCAAAGCTGTTGATTTCGATTCATTGGTAGATGAAATCAAACATATTTTCATTGATTTCTTTCTTCTAATATTCTTGCTACTAAACTTCCTTTCCAAGTTAGGTTATTTATGTGGACCCTGAGGCTCTGAGCTCATTCAGTATAAACAAATCATAAGGAAAATTGATCATTCTTTTCAAAATTGATCATTCTTTTTTCTGTATCTATAACTAATTACAATCAATTGATCAAAACATTGATTCATGATTTAGTGAATACAAAGCAAATGATTTTTCCAAAAACCTCTTTAAGCTAAAACTTAAAAAATTATTAGTACTTTAATGCTCGATGATTTAATGATAGTTGTGAACCTGTGGTATCTTTGTCGATGATTTAATGCCTTTCAAAATACCATCATTTTAAATTTCTTTACCAAAAATACCACAACTAAATTAATATTCTAAAATATTATCAAAAGTTTTGATTTATCTATAGATACCATAAACACAAAATTGATTATCAAGGATTTGGAATCTAAATTTTTAGAATTGAAATAACGATATTAGATAAAGAGTATAAATTTTAGAAGGTAGAGTTTAAGTCTAATTTTTAAGGTTGAAATTTAATTTTAGTTTAATAATATTTTTTGCAGACTAAAGTTTAAATAGTATTTTTGTAAGAATTTTAACATATGAGATCTATAATAAGTTAGCATATAATTAGGGAAAAAAACTAAATAATAATGAGATATGGAGTTCACATATGTGGCGTTGTTCTTGAGATATTGTACCCATATGGCACAAAATACGACAAGAAAACACTTTGATTATTTGCATTGCTTGTTATTTGAATCTGAAAAAATAATTTACAATAAAGAAACATAATTATTAAGTTATTTGGGTCTATCAGGTGTAATTTCCCATAATTATTAAGTTATTAATTTACAATAAATTTTATACACTTTGACAGAGTAAAAGAGTGGATTAATCGGTTGGGTCAAACTTCATACCACTATTTAAAAAAACTGAAAAGTTGATATCAATAAATTATATGGATTGATTTTAATAAACTTGTCGGTATTGTTTATCTTATCATAATATACAACACATATCTCTCACAAGCAAAACTAAACATTTGAAAAATTACATATATAAAATCTAAAAATAACACATATTTAAGTTGCATCCAATCCTTATTTTTCTAGAAATTTTTATCTTTATTAAAAAGTTCCATTACAATAGGAATTACATATTTTTAATGAAAACCTATTTCATATAGTAATAACAATCTAAAAACTGCTGCTTACCATCGATCAAATAATTCATGTATGACTTTTTTGTCAACGTTGGACCGCAAAAGACTGACTTATTACCCTGCATTCATTAAATTTGGATTTATTCCCTTATTTGTCACTAGGTCAATAAAGTTATTTTGCCGTTCATGTAAGTTTAACGTATTGTATTATAAATTTTTTCGCCATAGTGTACATAATGCTTATAATATATTTTAAGTGTGCTATTTTGTCGCACATTTTTGCAATGTTTAGATAATAATAGGGATGTTTATAGATTTGGTTTGAAAATTGTCATTTGTACATACATAAATAATTTCAATGGTTGAATTTCTTAGAAAAAAAATTTTGTTTATTTTTAAAGTTGTGTATTTTACTAACATTTGTGTATATTGAAAATTTTCAAAACTCTATAGTTTCCAATCAAGCCATTCATATATGTAAAACAATATTTTACAAATATATAATCCTTCTTAATAATCCTTTTGACAAAATATATATATATTTGTACATTGTAGTCTTTTTTTCATTTTTCATAAGGTGGTGATTCACCACATTTGTTTGTTATCATCACTGGTAGCATACTCATTCGCAATATAGAAGATTTAAACTACATTTTTTATTTGGAAAAATAGAAAAAAAAATTTAGAACATTCTAATGTAATAGTTGATTTGATAAGTTTTTTTAAAAAAAATATAGCAACTTCCATAATACTTAAATTCTAAAGCAAACTTTTTTAATGTAAATGATTTGATCAATTTTTACAAATAAAACTTAATATTACAATACAAAAAGTTGTTTTATGTTTTCGAAAGATGCAATAGTATTTTCCATTTAGATATTAAGTTTTCTTTTCCCTTTGGGCATCAATATTAATTTGGTTTAATTGTGTATTTGTGTCAAACCCTTCAAATTATTGGGTCTTTAAGGCCCAGCTTCAACTTCTAGTTAAAATTGGCCAAGACACGTGAGCCTCACGTGATTTTATCTTCTAACTAGAGCTTGTGTTATATCCATCCACTTGATCATTCATGTCTCTTCCTCTCAGAACCCAACATTCAAATTCTTGTCTGTATAATAAACAAATCCAAACACTCTGCGTTTACATTGTATAGATTCCTTCACAACTCCTCTGATTCTTGATTCTGTTCATTCTATTCTGCTTGCATCTTCGCATAATTCGTGTTCATGGCATTCGTGTTGAAGACGAGGCGAGTTCATATACTTTTCCTATAAAAGAAGTGAGTTTTGTTATGATTACGTCTTCTCTGGTGATGCCCTCGTCGAAGGATTCGTGTTAGAAAGGTAAATTCCCAAACTTTATATCTTTCTTCTTGCTCTACAGCTCTGATGAGTGTATCTTGCTCTGTTTGATTGAGAAAAGCTTTCTTCTTGTTTTGTAGAGAACTGAAATGACGAATTTGGTTTCTCTCTGCAACATAACTTATGGGTTTGTGCCTAAAAATTCAACTGATTTGTTTGTGAAACCGAGGTTCACAAGGTAGGCTTAGAGTGCTACATCCAAAGTTTTATTCTTTGATGATGGATTCATCTACTTTGAACTGTCACTAAAATTACTTAAGCTTAGCTTCCCAGCAGAGGAGATGGGATCACAAGACTATCCGTGTTTGATTCGAATGCTAAAAGGATAAGAAACCTTAGAGTTGGACCAATCTTTTGTAAGAGTTATGGAGATGCTGCAGCAAAAATGTATCAAGAAGATGAAATCCCCAAAGCAAAATTGATATGGAGAGCAATCAAATTACCCATTTACTCTGTCGCTTTAGTTCCTCTTACGGTATGTTTCCTCGAGAAATCTTTCTATGTCCTCAAATCACCTTTATATGTTATTGGATATTCATTATTGAAATGCCACAGGTTGGTGCTTCAGCGGCCTACTTAGAGACGGGTTTGTTTCTAGCTAGACGTTATGCTATTCTAATGCTCTCATCAATTCTTATCATTACTTGGCTCAACCTAAGGTGATTGATTGATTCCTTTTAACATTTTAGCTAACGAGCTCTTTCATGTATTTTACTCTTTCCAAACTTGGTTTAATGGCAGCAATGATGTTTATGATTTTGATACCGGAGCTGATAAGAACAAAAAAGAATCAGTAGTAAATATGGTTGGAAGGTAAAGTATCAAAAGAGAGAGTTTACAACTTTGAAGTTTATGTTTTTCAATCCCTTCCTAATATACTATGTGCTTTGTTGGTTGTACTTGGAAAAGTCGGGCAGGAACCTTAGCCGCTGCAGTTACATCGCTTGTGCTTGGTGTTGCTGGTCTTGTTTGGACATCTGTGAATGCAAGTAATATCCGTGCAATACTATTACTGGCCTCGGCAATACTCTGCGGCTATGTATACCAGGTGAATGTTACTTCCTAGATTACAATTTGATACTAACGGAAGAGATCCTAACTTCAGTGATACATTGTGATTGGTTTTTAGTGTCCGCCATTTCGGTTAAGTTACCAAGGATTAGGAGAGCCTCTATGTTTTGCAGCATTTGGTCCATTTGCTACTACTGCTTTTTATCTACTTCTTGGTAGCTCAAGGTATATCGAAATTTCATTCTAACCTACCCTCATCAGTTTCTGTTTCCATGTGTTGTTAATAATGTAAACTGGTTTAATCGAATATGGCAGCGAGATGAGGCAACTTCCGTTAAGCGGTATGGTCCTTTCATCATCTCTCCTTGTTGGTTTTACCACATCTCTCATCCTTTTCTGCAGCCACTTTCATCAGGTTGGTTAAAACAAAGTCACAGTCTAAATAACTCCTGAAATGACCCTACACAATACTCATTAGCGTTCATTCTACAGGTGGATGGAGATTTAGCTGTTGGGAAATATTCACCTCTGGTACAAATGTTATAAACTCAAAAAGGTTTGATACTGAATATGGTGATTGAATGAATAATTGAGGTCTTTTTTGGCTTACACAGGTTAGGTTAGGGACTGAAAAGGGATCATTTGTTGTGAGATGGGCTATTCGTTTGCTATATTCAATGCTTCTTGCTCTTGGTTTAACCAGGGTTTTGCCACTACCTTGCACAGTAAGTTAACAGATTTGAGAACATGACTAAAATACAAGAACATATGTATAACTAAAACAAACCTCTTGTTGTTGGGTGTTTCAGTTGATGTGTTTCCTGACATTACCAGTTGGGAATTTGGTTTCAAGCTATGTCGAAAAACACCACAAGGTAAAGAAAATTTTTAGAATTGAAAATTGCAATACTTAAGGTTTGCTAATCTATTATTCTCAATGTAGGAAAATGAGAAGATATTCATGGCCAAGTATTATTGTGTGAGACTCCATGCATTGTTTGGAGCCGCATTGTCGTTGGGACTCGTTATGGCTCGCTAGATTTCACTTACCCAAAAACATTTGTTTTTTTTTCTCTTTGACCTTGTGTTGTATTTTTTTTTTAATTAGTCAATATGTTAATTATGGTCATTATTTAATTACTCAAAATTTATGTGGTTACTTTTGGTATAGTGTACTTTAAAAGTCACTACTTCGGTACTTCCCATCACCAGAAACCTGAAGCTATTTAGAAGATTTGATTTGGAAGACCTTATCTAAAATGCATACCTTAAAACTATGGATTTATCAAGTACACTTCTAATTGGGTTATTACTAATCAGGAGCTGATAAGGATTTATGATTTAAGGAATCATAATCTTTCATTCTATGCTAGTTTTTTTATTAACATAAAAATATTTGTGGAATTGTTGACTGGTCTCTTCAGAATAATAAGAATTTGTTGAATCTATTTTATTAAATGTTACTAGGTAATATCCCGCTCATGTTGTATATTAAGTTAATTAATTAATTTTAATTTATTTATTACTTAAAAAATAGAATAAATAAATTTCAATGCTTATGACATGTTTACACTTTATTTATTTAAATCATACAATAGAAGCATACATCCATATCTCTTGAATTTATTCGTTGATTAATTTTTCAATTTTGATAGTAATTTTTTCTTCAGTACTTTTGAGTATTTTTTGATAAAAAATAAATAATATTGTTAATGATAAAAATATAAATGATAATGGGAGAATTTAAAGATGGAGGAATTTCAAAAATACCCCTTTTCCAATACCACTTTTTAAAAATACCTCTCTTTCTAGATTTATCAAAAAGTCACTATAAAATTTGAAATTTATCAAAAACATATGTGTAAACTTATATTTATAGACACAAATTATCTTTATATGTGTGTAAATTTATATATATATTTCATAAATACCGTATAAATACATTTTAAAAACCTTTTAAAAACCATTTAAAAACCTTATAAATACTGTGTAAACCTTTTAAAAACCTTATAAAAACATTATAAATACCGTTTAGAACCTTTTAATACCTTACAAATATTTGGATTTAATCTTCTAGTAGTAATGATGACTTCGATGTACCTTATTAACCATATCAAAGTTTATAATTTTTCATATTTGAAAAGGGATATTTTTGAAAATGAATAGAAAATAGGGGTATTTTTAAAAAGGGGTACACCAAAAGGGGTATTTCTCAAAAATTCTCTTTAAGGAATACTCTTTTTCAAATACCACTTTTTAAATTTTTCCCTTTTTCAAACTTTATCAAAAACAACACTAAAAATGTTGAAATATATCCAAATATGTGTAAGCTTATAAATATACATACACATTACCTTTGTTTGTGTATAAAATTTTATTTATTTCATTGTCTTAAAAATTGGTTTGATAATTATATAAAAAAAATTATTTTGTTACAATAATTACATACTTTTCAGAATAAAATAAATATACATGAATATGTGAGAAAGAAACAAACATCTAAAGTAAAAGAATGAAGATGGTTTTTTTTAACTTGATAAAATTGAAAACAAAAGTTTAAACCAAATATTTAATCAAACTCTTACAATGATATCTTAATTGAGTTTTCACCCCATGCAAGAACTTTAAAAACAAAAAAAAAGACAAAGAAAATAATGAATATATGAGATATAGTAAAGGATGATGTGAGAATGGCTATTTATAGGATAAGAATTGATGTAAGTTACATTTTTAAAATAATTAAATTAGAGGAGTCATAATTATAATTTATAGTGTGTTTAATTGAAATTCAATAAAGAAAAGCAATAGTCTTTGAAAATTTATATAGTTTTCAGTTACATTTTAGTAGTAAAGTGTGAATTTAAAGTATGAATTAATGTATATGATTAAATGTGTTTTTTGGTTTAGTTAGAAATAAATTTTAAATTTAAAAAAAATAAATATCAAATAGACCAATAAGGAGAGAGTGAAACCTTTCTTTTATATATGTATATATGATTATTATTATTATTTTATTACTCAACAGATTCTTATAATTCCTGAGAAACTAGTCAACAACTCCTAAAATTAAAGACTAACATTTAATATGTTAAAATTAAAGACCAACATTTAATGAAATGTATGTATAATTTGTTAAATGGTAATTGATTAATTTATGTTTTATGTCTTTCCAAAAAACATTTGGTCAAAGATCTTTAAATAATAAAGAACCAAATGCTTTGTTCTTTTCTCAGCCTCCTCATCAACCCTTATATATTACACCTTTATATTTTCCATGCTTCAACATTCAATAAGCTCTCTATCTTTCTCTCCGTTGTTGATCAAAATGGAAGTGAGAGGCTCAATGATATGTGTGTTCTTAATGTGTTTCATCTTTGGTCACATACTGATAAGTCACAAAAATGACTTCGTCGAAGCCAAGAGCATTCCTAAATTTGAAGATTTAGAAATGGAGAAGAGACTAAAGATTATCAACAAACCTGCTGTCAAGATCATCAAGGTTTTTACATATCTTCACAATCTTGTTGTTGTTCTCTATATATCTTATAAACTTAATATGTTAACCTCTATATATTGCTGTAAATGGTAGACTATAGATGGAGAAAGCTACGGATGTGTGGATTTTTACAAGCAACCAGCCTTTGATCATCCTTCTATGAAAAATCACACATATCATTACAAGGTATAGTTTTGGATATATTGGTTAAAAATTCTTATATTCTTTTACAAACATGAAAATAAAAGGACAATTATATGTCTATTGTGTTTCGATATGTCCTAGATGCGTCCAATATGGAAAGGAATGAAAGAAAAAAAGACAAACAATACTGGATTTGGTTACTTATGGGAGAATGGTGTGGGTTGTCCCATTGGTACAGTCCCTATACAAAGAGTCACCAAAGAAGATCTCTTGAGGTTTGACTCATTTGGGGATGATCATAAACCCCGTGGCTCTTGGAACACTACCACTAATGATCCTAACAATGGTGTTCATTACAACCAACATCATGTAAGTTGCCTCTGCTAATTAAGAAAACGTACAGGTTTAGTCTAAATAACATTTTGAGATATTTATAATGAGAATAATGTTTGGTTGTTGAATGGGAACGAACGGGATTATAGTATGCAGTGACTCGGACTACAGAGTTAAAAGAAAGGTTCCATGGAGCAACGATGGAACTTTGTATAACCGCTCCTAAGGTTAGGCCTGGCCAATATAGTGCTGCTCGACTTCACATTCAGATGGGAAGAGATTTCATCCAAGTTGGTTCGACTGTAAGTAACTTGATTTATCTAATTTGCCATCTACAACTTATGTACACTCGATAAAAATCACGAAGCTACGAGTAATATGTCGTGTATTATATTGTTTCATAAACCCTTTCAACTTATATTTACTCATTCAGGTAAATCCAGTATTGTACAAAGACACCCAGCCTCGGCTCTTCGCCTATACAAATATTGTAAGTCTACCAACTCTATCCAACGCCTTTGCCTATAACTTTTATTATATTAGTAAATCATTTTCTTTTTTTCGATAACGTAAACAAGTATAAGTTGATATATGTATACATTAATGGAACAGGCAGGTGGACAATCATGTTACAATTCCAATTGCAACGCTGGAATGATACTCGTTCGTCAAGATTTGCCGCTTGGTGTACCATTGGTGCCAGTGTCTATTCGTAGTGATAAGACAAGTCACTATGCAACCTTCGGTCTAATCAAGGTTTCGAATAACTAGAAGTGCAACTAAAGCATTCAAAAAATTTGCTTTATGTATTGCTTAATGTGATATTTACAATTAACCTATATATTATTTTTCGTATTATAGGACCAAGTAAATGGAAATTGGTGGTTACAGTTTAGTAAAACAGCTGAGGAAGTTGGATTTTGGCCGTCGGATAGATTTCATCAAAGCTTTGGAAATAAAGTCGAGTGGGGTGGAGAAGTGTATAAAGCATCACAACCGAGTCCTGAAATGGGATATGGACTTTTTCCTCTTATGGATATGAGTGCCGATGCATATATATCACATATAACCGTACTCGACACCAATTATAAGATAGACAGTAAAATGTACTACATCGAAGAATTCTCAGACGATAAGCGAGGCTACCAAATTTTGGGCCACTACAGCAGTCACGCAGATCTCGGTCATATAACATTTTTTGGTGGTCCTGGAAATATATGAATATTGTATGATTAAAGATTCGTGAAATAAAAATTAAAACATTACATTGTGAAAAGGAAACTCCACAACTTCCATTATCTACAAAAACACATTCCAAAACTGTAGGTTCAAAAAAAAAAAAAAAAAAACTCAAAATGGCTTTCAAAATCCACCAAAACACATTCTAAAACTGTAAGTTCCAAAAAGAAACTCAAATGGCTTTTATAATTCTATGGTATCTACCAAAACACGTTCTAGCTCTTCATATTCCAATCAAATTACTTCAGTGAATTTCACAATCTACCAAAACACACATTTAAATCCTTAATATTCCAAATCAATTTTCGATGGCTGTCACAATTAATCATATGTATACAGTACTGTACATTTTAAACCAAAGGGTTTGACTAATGGGTAGGCAATTTAAAACAATCAAATACAATTTATTAACATAGATTAATCAATCTTGGATATTGCAAATATTGTACTCGATTGTTGTTCTCCCAACATCATTAGATGCATATATAAGTAACTTGGTCGCTTATAATATACATAGAGAGTAGCATCGTGAGAACCAAACTAGGATGTTGTAAAGAGGAATTAGAGCATATAGCTATGTTCTTGAGAGATAAGAATGGAGATTTATAACTCCAAGCTAAATTAATTTAATATTGAATTCATTCATGTTACTGGAGTATGGATAAAATTTACAAAATATTACGCTTATATTCTGAATCGCACCAATATATCTCAAAACTCTATTTTTTTCTCTCCAAAATCAAATAGTTTTCTTAAAAAATATTATATGGCCATCACTTCTAAATTTATTAAATTTATATTTTTTTACAAATTTTGAATTATAATAGTCATGTTATAATATAATAATAAATATATGGAAAAACAAATTTGCTAATAAAAATCCTTAAAATACAAGGCAAATCCAGTGAAGAAGTGAAGAACGAAATCGTATAAGGCACTTAACGGGATCTCAGAGCAGTTATTACAGCTTAAAAGTGATATCACCTATGCGTTTTAAAAAAACAAAATATTTGTATATCTTCATATATATATATATATATATATGTCTATCATTCTATTGTATATGTATATAAAACAGTTGATATTGTTAGGCTATTGTATGTCATTCTAGACCTTAACAAGAAACCCTAGTTTCAGTAGCTTATTCGGCAAGTAAGCGCATAAATGGATAGGTTGAAGAGAAAAGCAAAAAGACCAAAAGTGTCTAATAATCATCACGGCTGGTCTAAGCTTTGTCCAGACCTTTTTGCGAAAGATCATCGAAAGCTTGAGCTCTATTGATTATCACCGAGCAAAAACTACGTACCTTTGCACATTTTACAAGTTTATCGGCGATAGAAATCATCCCGTCATGAGATATATCAAATCAAAGAGTCTAGAAATTGATCTCAATTTTGATCTTCAATGTAGGTCATCATCGCAAAGTAATCTCACCGGTCCGTAGTAAAAAGTTCTTTATCATATTAAAATCTATAAGTTGTAGTTTCACAGTATTATTAGTAGTAATAATATGATTCAAACTTTGAACAGATTTTTTTTTAAATGATCATCCTTCAAATTATATAATGTTTTAATTTCTATTAATTATAATAAACATAAGTATGCACTAAATAAATATTTAAATTTAGTTTAATACAAATAAATAAGTATGTCTATGTGGATGCTTAGGTAGACAATCTAAAATTAACAAGTTTTAATCCGCAGTTTATAAAACAGCTATAATCTACAAATCAAAAGATCAATTCTAGAACAATTTTTAGTTAAGTAGATTGATGTCCTCCAAATATATATATAGATGAGATTTTTTGTTTGATATGTATAATAGATTAAAACTCAGTCTAATAATTATATTATATATAGCTGTTTATATAGTACCAAAGATTCTTATATATATGGTCGGATATCGGAATGTGCCTTCAATTTGATTTGAGATATTAATCATACTATCATTAACCTAATCAATCACATGCAAGTATATCAACAAAAACAAATGTGCATACAATTCATAAATTAAAACATCATGCACATTGTTTTGCACAGTTATTTTCATGCATCAATCATAACAATGATCCAATATTTTGAATTTATTCGATCTTTTTCAATGCATATGTCATCAAATATTTTGGCTGGATCAAGACATTTATCAAATCAAGAAAAATAAAAATGATTATAAACAGAAGATGGGACAGTATAGGGCTAATGTGTAATTTGGTAGCCAAACGAATGAAGTCTTCTTCACGCCTCACGGGAATATTAAGAAGAAGAAAAAAACACAAACCTAATAATACTATACAAAAATAATCACGAGCATGTCTTCGCAAAAAGACACCATTTCGAAATAGAAGAATGTATAATATAAAATATAAAATTTTGTAAAGCCATATGAGAAAACAAGAGATAATTTAACAATATTAGATAAACAGTAGCTAGCCACACATGAAAAAAGACAATGATGAATATAATGTTCGTGTAAGCATATAGTACACACATCGTATAAAATAAAACAAATGTGCACACATGCAGTTACGTGTAGTGTATGTACGTATACTTGTAGAATATATTATCTTTAAAACTTTGGAATTTATATGAAAACTTCGAAGACAGGGTAACACATATATGGCAGATTAGTTCTTTTGGCGTCTCAAGAAGATGATACGGTCCACATAAATAGATACACATACTTTTTTTCACATGATCAAGGAGTCGAGCAATGAAGTCAAAGGAGCTTATATATATTGTTATTTTCTTTTCATTATCCAATTTTGTTTGCTCATCCACCTTTATAATGAAAGTACCAATTACGAGTGGTGGATGGTGGTGGAGATACTAATCTTATATATATAGTTCTCTATTTAAGAAGAAAAAAAGAGAACAATACTAGTAAAGGCTTGTCAGACAAAAACTCCCGATTCTTGAAGATTCTTGATTAATAAATGAAATGAAAAGGGTTCTTGTTTCTTGCACTTGAATTACTAATACGTCTCGTGTAAAATGAACAGTGTCGTTTTATGAATTTAATGAGAAAGGAACATTTGAAAGTTGATAGCATGCAATCTTGGTTTGTGTACATATACAGACACACACAAATATGTGATGATGCCTCATGAGATCTCTAGCTCTCACCCTTCACTCATATTCACACATTGACTTAAAGTTTAGTGATTATATTCTTATTTAGCTCTTAGTATAGTGTCAAACATATGCTATTAATTAGTGGTGAACGTTTCTAGCAATAGAAAAATGACAGAGCTTGTATATGTACTTGATGATCACTATTATATACTTTTAATATATATGATCTTGTATATACGTAGATAATCAAGTTTTTTTTTTAAGGAGATTGTAGGACACAAGATCATATATATGTGTGCTCACGAAAAGTAAAGAACTCGTAAAACTTGTCTTGTGCAATTGCTTTTTATAAAATGTATATATGTGTGAGAAATAGAGAGATAATTATTGTGTGACTTGTGATCGAACACAATAATTGTTGTTAACTATGAATACGTAAATAAAACAAAGAAAGAAGATAAGAAAAGTTTTTTTAAAAAAGAAAGATAGGAGAAGTGTTGTGGAGACGAAAGCAAGCCCGTGAAGGGGTGCATGTGAGCACTAAAAGAGATGTTATAATCAACTGCCCATTGACAAAATATAGACCCAATCACATGTCTCATCCCATTTTTACATGCACACAAACACCATACAATATGTATCTATTTGTATGTATGTATATGTTTCTCTCGGAAGAAACCAAAACGACAAAACATCACCCAAGAAACTGTCAAGGTTTGTTCATCATTAAAAAGTAATAAACTTTGGATATCAACTAATTGGGTCTTAATATCCACACATTTTACAAAATAAACTGACTTGTTAATTAAGTTAACAAGAATATCTATAAAATATAGTTATTAGATGATCTAGCTTATCAGCGAGAAACAATTAGTGAGACTTGTTTGATGATCGTTGATTTCATCAAAGTTAAATTCTCAAATAGATGTTTTAACTCAAAAATGTCACTCATGACTCAACAAAATAAATCCACAAAACCAAGGTGAGCCTATATATATAGAGAAACAAGAGATGTACATTAAAATTCAGTACTATATGATCATAGTAAATATGGAGACCATAAGACACTTATCTGATCACCAGGATGACACATCAACAATTACATTTATCCCTATGTGTATACATTAAAAAAACAACCACCTCATTTTCAAGTGCGCAGCCCCACTCTATGGTGCATACCTTTGCATATACTATAGATAGTCGTATAACTAAGTAAGTATATGTATGTATTTTGTATGGGAGTAGATGAGGTTTTGCTTTTGCAACAGGAAAGGTATATGTGTTTTGTCTGAACAGGTGCCTCTTTGTGGTTCGTTTGTCTTGGCTTGCTCTAGTGTGTGTTTCAGCCAACCAAAGTGGATGGGTCTCAACCAACGTTTAGTCTACACGTGGCGCACACATATCCCCTGAAATTGTGTTCGTTGATTTTATAAAGTAATAATCTCGAAAGACAAAAAACCAATTAACATCTCTTATGCATGCTATCATGTTTTACGATTATAACTATTTGTAGTAATCATTGATAAATTTTAATATTTTTGTCTGAAAGATATATACTTTTGGTAGATTTGTGTATTTTGCTTCGGATCACCCAATCATGAGTACAACATGTTCCGACGGATAATGAATGTATCTTAATTAATCCTAGATTATCCAAAACCAATGATATATTATTCAAACTTACTTGAAAACCCTAATCACGATGAATCCAACTATCCAAGTGTAATTAGATTTGTTAAAAGTAAAAATATACATATATAATTGTGAGAGTAATTTTAGTTATATACTCGATCGATTTACTTATCGAATATATACCGGAATGTTACTATGAATAGAGGGTCCTCATTTCTGGCATTATATTGTATTGTAGTTGGTGTAGGGAATATATTCCATGACACTCACTATAGATAAGTTTTACTCATGAGAGCAATGAAAATGATAATGGTA